TCCAAAATCCTCAAAATTTTCGCATGCGGCGCTGAAAAGGGAAGAAGTCTGTCTTCGGGCCTTTCAGAAATCCTCAAAATTTACGCCTGCGACGCTGAAAACGTAAGATTTTGGCTTAATGATCTTTCAAATTTCAAAAAAATTTTGCCTGCGGCGCTGAAAAAGGAAAAAATAAAAATTTTTGGCGTTTTCGGCGACAAAAATTCAAGTGTAATTGTCCAGATAATTGTTCGGATTTCTATAAGATTATCATTATTAATAAAAAATTGCATAATTCAATTGTTGGAGTAAAAAATATCAAACATAAAGTGATTTTACTTCAAATTTTGTGTTTGATAATTTTTTGCGGATTTTTCATATCAAATGCGGATTTTTTCGACCAAAATTGCGGATTTTTAAAAATTCGAGATCGAAGCCCTGGGTAAAATACATATATGTATAATTTATTTTTATCAAAAAATCATATTCGAATAGTAACTTTAATTTATTTTCAAAATTTATTTAGACAAATTTCAATTTTTTACCGATTATTTTGAATATAAAACCTTTAATTTTTAATTATTCTAAAATAATTAAAAATTCACAAATCTTTGTTAATTTTCTTTTAAAATTATTTTAATATTTTTTAGACTATGGTGGGGAAACCTAATATAATAGAATAAATCTTTAACACTTATCCGACAGTACAACTGTTTCTATAAAATATTAAAATTTAATGCCGTCTCTAATAAACACTTTTTTGACCTTTCTTTTCATTTTATATTTTTTCAAAGAATTTTATTTAATTTAATTTACAAACAACTGTTCATTTTTTAAGACATTCCATGGATCTTTCTCTTAAATTTTTTAAAAAATTGTTTAAAAATATTTAAAATCAAAGTTTTGATTTTATTTGATTATTTTATCGACCGATTGCTGAAAATTATTTTAAAATAAATTAATTGTTCAATATATTTATTTAGTAATTTTGTTAAATATCAAATTGATATAATCAGTTTAAAGCCATCAATCCATTCAAATTTTGTATTTTTCAATAGGGCTGGACACCGGATGTGTTTGTCGAGATTGTAGCTGTCGAGGTTTTAGTCAAAAAAAGGCCGAGGTCTACCTCCTCTATTTTTCATATTTTTTCTTCAACTATTACGTAAAAGAACATTTAATATATTTAAAGACAACTGTTTCGTAAACTTTAAAAGTTTTTTAAAAAATTATCCGGGTCAAGTAAAATAAAAGAAATTTAAAAAAGAGAACATACACACATTCTTTGTTTTATTTCTTATTAACGTCTTTTATATTTTCTGGATTGGATTGGAAAGCCATCAACAGATAAAAAGATTTTTAAATTATTTCAGATTAGCATTATCTTAAACGATTTTTTAATAAATAAATTAATTTTAAATTTTAATATTCTTAAATATATTTGTCAGATTTCACCCTTATAATATATACCAAGGATGGATTTTCTTCCGCTTTCGCCTTCCACTTTTTACATCCCCTAATGACGGCCATTATTTATGAAGAAGGAACGGTATCCGCTGTAATACATATGTATGGAAACCAGGCCTGTTTACGGTTACGGATTCTAGCTCCAAAACCGAATATATATCCATAGATCCCCCTCCTCCTTCGCCCTTTCTCACGAACCCACAGATACATAAAAATATTAATTTAATTTAAAAGTTGAAGACTTTTGAATATTTTTAGTTTATAAATATTTTTGTTATTTATATAAAAAATACAGGAATTGATCGCCCGCACAAAAGGTTATCTATTTCTTCTAAATATCCACACACAATTATATTAATTATCGTTTTTTTAATAAAGGTAATTAATTATTAACTTATTTTTTCTCTAGTCACCTTTATTCAAGTAAATTATTTTATTCATCGCTTTAGGGTTAGAAGCATTTCCTGGATTTTAAATTGGTAAAGTATAAATAATTCCTTTCGAAGAATATTATTTATTTTTTTGAAAAAATATTTTTATTAAATTAAAAACAGAATTTAATTTAATCAGATTATTTAATTGGTCGAAAAGGGAAAAAATTAATATATCCTAACAATTCTAATTTTATTTTGCAATTAACTCCCAACAATAAACAAAATATTTTAAAAGAAAATATTTATTAAATTGCACATTTGCAGCGCGAACATTTAATTATTTATTTATTTAAAAGAAAACTTTGCAAGAAAATTAAAAGTAAAAACAAAATTTTTGTTTATTTACAATAACAAAATTTAACAAGTTTTTGGGAAATTTTTAGAAAATTCTTTAAATTTTAATATTTTGAATTTATTAAATAAAGGCCTAATAAATAATTAAAAGTTTGTAAGTGACCACAAAAATCTTTAAAATTTAAATAATTTTTTAAAAAATAATTATTTAATTATTATCTCTCTCATATTCAAACAAACAAAAAATACATAATTTATTTAAATATTTATTTTGTATAATAAAGCACAAAAGCATTGACTTGTCGTCCAAAAGTATTTACTAATCTAGTATTTATTTGTTATTTTTTCTTCCACAGATTATATTGTTCCAACATCATTTTTGTCGGTCGATTGGTTCTTTTACATTTATAAATATATAAACACAAACCCACAAAACTTTTTTTTCAAAAATAAATATTTTGTATTTATTTTAATAATTATTATATTTTTAAAATTATATTTTAAAGATCTCGTGTTATACGCCCGCATTTTTCCTTTTTTATATGCTTGATCCAATCCGAATTAATTTTACATATGTATATCATTCGAAACTCTCGATAAGCGGTATTTTTCTCAAACGTATGGAGCATTCTGATCGCGCTAAAAGTTAATGTGTGAAAACCAGCGATATGTATCTTGCACTTATCGACTTTTTAATTAGGTAAGTGATCAGACTTGATCCATTCAGTTGGAAAAGGGGTAGTGCTTATCGATGGCTTTCGAATGATATAAAATTCATTTGATTAGATTAAGCACAGCCGATTGTAAAGAATATTATTTACAACTTCTCGACCCTTTTTTACATTTTTTCTTCCATTTTTGTCAAAAATACTTAAACATCTGGACATATCCCCCCACTTAAATATATTTATTTATTTATATTCTCTCCCCGATCCAATTTCCTCTACAACCACCCACTTGGGTTATATTTATTTGTATGGATCGCGATGACTGACCACCCCTCCCCCCCCCTCCCCCACCACCAATCACACACACAAAAACATTAAAAGAAACACTTAAAAGCATCAACATTCTCAACCCCCGATCGATGTTTTTAATGTCTGAGAGAAGTTTAAAAATAAAATTTTTCGCAAAAATCCTTAAAAAGAAATTCTTTTTTAAATTCCACAAAATTATTTAAAACCAAAAATTGTTTTGTATTTCCCCTCCCTCTTTTAAGTAAAAGAATGCAAATTTTGGCGCGCGCTCATTCCTCCCCTCCCTTCTATTCTTGATTCTTTCATTTTTCTACTTTGCTTTTCCTTCTCACAAAACATTAAAAAAATATTTTTTACACGAAATTGAATAAACGGCCAAAATACATATTTAATCAATAAAAATATTTAAAATAAAAAATCTTAATTTTTTTCTAAACTGCTTTATTCAAAATATTTTGCTATTTTAAAAGTAATTCCATTTCTATTTCGAGAATGTGTGTGTGGATTTTTAATTTTAAATTGTCCAAATCCTTTTAATTTAAAAAACAAAATTCAAATTTTTCTTTCAAAAACATTAAAAATTTAATAAGATAAAATTTGAAAAAAATACATAGTTACATAATAAACTCTTTTTTCTACAATAAAATTTTAAAAATATGATCATTTAATAATTTAAAAAATAAATTCTTTTAATAAATTAAAGGAAATATTAAAAATTATATTTTATTTTAATAAACTAAATTTATTAATTTTTTATCATTTTATCAGCAAATTTTCAATTCTCTCACCATTTCTTCCTCCTTTTTTAAGTTCTAAAATTGATATTATTTATTTTAACATAAAATTTTTTTCTTTTTAATTTTAAAAATAAAAGAAATTAATATATTTATTTTTAAACAAAAATAACAAATAAAATTTTAAAGAATTTAAACGTGGGAAGTTTTGTTTGAAAAAAAAGAGTGAGAAGTTGTAAAATAATTTTATGTAGTTTTTGATGACGTTAATTAAAGAAAATCTTTTTAATTTAAAGTTAAATATATTTTTTATTTTTTCTAAAATTATTTTTGAGATAATTTTTGTTTTAATTTAAAAATTATTTATTAAATTATGTCAAGGAAATTAATTTATTTTAATAAAGTTTTGAGGGAGAGCTGTATTTGTTTTTTTTTAAAAAGTTTTGTATATTTAATTTGTTTTTTTTTCATTTTTAATTAAAAATTTATTTTTTTAATTTCCTTTCCTTTTTTGCAAATTAAAAAAATACTTACTAGATAATTAGTTTGTGTTTGTTTTCGTATATTCTTAATATATTTTTGCTGATTCAATCAACACCTTTTCTCTCTTTTTTAAATTAATTTTTAAATAAATTCAACAAAATTCTTTTTAAAAGTAAATTACGTAAATATATTTTATTTAAATATTCCTTGAAAAAATAAAAATAAATTTATTTATTTTTACCTAAAAATCTATGAATGTTTATTAAATATTACTTTTTTTGTCGTTTAATTAAAAATTAATTTTAATTTTTAATTAATTTATATAATGAATCACTAAATGAGTCATTTACTTTTTTTTAAATTAATCACAAATATTTTTAGAATTATTCGATTAAATTATATAATTAATTTAAAAAAATAACATAAAATAATTGTTTTTAATTTGAATGACCAAAAATGGCATTTGTTGGCCATCCAATTTTAGCGGTAATTTTTAAATAAAATTTAAAAATAAATCCTTCTTTTTTTATTTTTTTTAATTTCTTTTAAAGGATATCAGAAAAGGTATCAAATTAAAACCAACAAAAACAATCGACAAATCAAAGCCCTTCTTCAAAGCTGATGGAGAGAATATGCCTTCCTTTAGTAATGTTATTAGAGGGCCTTCTTCTTCGAATAATAATTCTCAAATAAATAATGATAATGAAGATAATAACAATTCTTGTGTTCTTCCCCCTCCTCCTCCACCTCCACCTGTTAATATGCCTAAAATACCTCCAGTCAACAATAATTCTTGTATATATTTTTTTAAATAATTACAATTTCTCTTTATTTGTTTTAGTAAAGAGCAATTCCCCTTCAATCCCTACTCCATCTCCAAATAAAGGAGAAGATAACCGAAAAAAGATGTTAGCAGAAATTCGTCTTGGAGTAGCTTTAAGGTAATTTTAAAAATAAAATTTAAATATTTAATTTTTTTTATTTTTTTAAGACATGTAGATACTGTTGATAAAGGAGCACCAAAAATTGAATTGGACGAAAATGAACGTCAACAATTATTGAGAGCTACAACACCTAATGATTCTCTTGATAGTCAAGGGTATTTAATCAATAAAGAAATAATAAAGTCCAGCTTGAAGCCCACATGTCCTATCATTTGATAACCTAAGGAAAGAATGGAGTGACGGAGTTGAACACAGAAAAATATGCATTTTTGCAGAATGCTTTTGCTGGCATGAGGGCCTCGAACTGGACATTCACCTAAACTGAAATATATTTATTTTCTTTAAAGTAAAAGTCCAAGTCCTTCCCTAACTCCAACAACAATAAGTAGCAATTCCTCCTCTCCTTCCCAGTATTTACAACCAAATATTAATGGACAAAACCAGCAAAATTCACGTTCACCTTCCCCCCTTCAACAACAACCTAAAAAACAATGGAAATGGGCAGAAGTTAAAACAGAAGCAGAAAAAAGAGAAGAAGCAATTACACATGGAAGGCAAAACAGTGACTACCAATTTGATGATAAAAAAGTTTTTTGAAAATATTTTTAAAAAAAATTGTTTTTTAAAGCAAATAGAAGAACGACAAAAAGAAGTTGCTGCCCTTTCTGGCACTGGAGGTGCTCAATCAAAAATTGCTGCTTTTAAGCAATTACAGGCTTCTAGTAGCCCTTCTTCAGCATATTGTACATTACCTAGAATATCAAAGAATGGGGTTGGGGCAAAATGGGAACAAAAACAGGAAAATGGAAAAATTGATGGTACAAAAACTATTAATAATGGGTATGTTCTTGGTAAATAAGAATTAATTATCTAAAGGGCCGCCACACTAATAAGCTCTCACATTTTTTGATAAAAATACTAGACTTGGTTAGAATATTGAAAACTGAGATTTTTGAGTGAGATCTCGTCTCTGTCCTATCTCTAGCATTTTTTACCAATAACAGAAATATATACACCTCTCGATTTTAAATATGTGGGATTTAACAAAAAATCGAAACTTTGAGATAAATTAAAATCAAAAATTGAATAAGGAGATCAAAAAATTTATTTTGCCAAAAAATCAAGAGCTAAACACTTGTGTTTTTAAATTGACATTTTAATATTTAAATCTGACTTAAATATTTAAGGAAAAAGATTATTAAACTTTTAAGTATTAATTTAATTTTAATTAATATTTAAAAATCACCCATTAATTAATTTTTAGCTCAACACCAACAACAAAAAATAATACTAATTCAATTTCTAATGGAATATCCAAAACAAATGGCCACCCTCCTCCCCCTTCCCAACAACAACAAAATAAACAACCTCAAAAAATTACCCCCCAAAATTTAAAAAAACAAGTTCAACAACAACAACAACAAACAAAAACAAACGAAAATAACATTTCCAAAGTTTGTTTAAACAAAACTTCGAGTTTAGCAGAAAAATGGCAAAAACAACAAGAAACCCAGAAACCCAAAATAAATAAACCTGCATTTATTCAATGCCAAACATTACAAAGGTCTAACAGGTAAAGAAAAGAAAGGATGCTTTTCGTGTAAAATATACAGAGGAAGAGAATAAAAACTTTAAATGGAAAAATAAATTTTGAAAAATGAAAATAAATGTACATAAATGTATGTTTTCTTTAAAAAATATATTTTGGTTAAAAGAAATGGATTTTAAAATTAATTTCCTTCTTTTTAAAGAAGGAAATTTCCTTCTTTTCATGCCGCGGGTACAAAAAATCTTCGGGTACGGGTTTCGGGTTGGAGCGTTTTCTTTTCGGGTTTCGGGTACAAAAAAGGCCGGGTTTCGGGCGGCAACCCTGATTTGTAGTATAATTAATTAAATAATTACTACTTAAATCCATCCTTTTAACCAAAATTTATTTCAAAGTATTAGTAGATGTCTAGAAAAATTTAATTTTTTAGATTTGTTTAGAAAATATATTTTTTTAACAAAATTTAGTTTTAGAATAGAGAGATTATTTAATATATCTCTAATAACTTCCTCTGTGTGTTTGCTGTGTTTTTTATTTTAAAAAATCCCAAAATACATATTTTTAATACAAACCTTTTTTAGAATATTTGTCAAATTATTTAATTGGAATTTAAGTTTTTTTAAGTTTATTATTCAGAATATATTTTTGGGAGTTTTTAAATTCTAATTAATTAATTAATTAATTAATTAATATCAATTTAAATAATAAATATATACTCAGATAAATAATTAAATTTTTAAATTAATTATTTCAAACTTTTGGATGAACATAAAAATAATACAAAATTTTCAGAATTTTATAAAACCAAAATTGATTTTTTTCTTAAGATTTTTTTTAATTTTGAGGAAAAATAATTTTAATTTTTATTAAAAAAGGTAAAAATATATTTTAATTAATTAATTTAATTTCCTCCTCCCCTCCCCTTTTCAGTACATCTTCCCATCCATTTCAAAATGGACAACAAAAAAACTTTGCTTTTCTTTCAAAAAACAGGCAAACAATTCACCATCCCCGCAACCATCCCCACAACCCTCTACCAGAATTTCCAACAATTGTGCCAGTCTCTGCAACACTTGTTAGAACATATACTCCCCGAGGAAATATTAATAATGATGAACATAATAAATATTTTCAAAAAATTAGGTAATTAAGTGGAAGCTTTAAAAATGCTGTTTTTAAATTAGTTTAGTGGATGTTTAGATTTTCGTTTTATTTTATGGGAATTTAAAAAAATAATCTTTATTTTGGCTCCAAATAAAAAATTTTTTATATCTGTTTAAACGTAGATTTTAGACAAAATTATTTTCAAAAATATTTTAAATGTCTCGTTATATCATTTTAAATACTTTTTATTAATTAAAAAAAATTTTTTTAATTTTTTAGAGATCGTTTTACACCAAACGAAAATAATAATTTAATAACTACAACAACAAAACCAACAGCAAATAACAATTTAATTAATTCTCAATTAAATAAATCTACTACAATAATAGAAATAAATGGAAAACAAAATAATCAAAAAACAATAATTAACAATCATTCATTTCCTTCTTCATCTTCTTCTCTAAATTCTTTTAAACAAAAAAATTTTAAAGAAGAAGAACAACAAAAACAAATTAATTTTAATGAAGAAAGAGAGGAAGAAGAAGAAAGTGGAGGAGTTTATAATTTTTGGAAAACTTCAACAATTGAAAGAAAACAACAAAAATTTAATAAACTTTTTGGGCAAAAAGTAATTTTTATTTAATCTGATTAAATTTTGATTAAAATCTTCTTTTTTATTTTTACTTTAAATTTTAAAAATATCCTGAATTCATATGTATCAGGGATCTCGTCGGCCTGATTCCCGAAAGACGGGTTCCCGAATGTTTTTTGGGACGAGAATCCCTTTTCACAAAATTAGCGAAATCCCTGCTATGTATATTAAAGTTTTTTTAAATAAATTTGTATTTTTTTTGAAAATTAACTAGCATAATTAATCAAATTACCTATATTTACTTAATAATTTATTTTTTTATTTAAAGTCCCCAGAACCTCCACCTCTACCAACATGTTCTCCCCCTCCATTGGAGTCTCCACCAGACTGGGAAACTCTCCGAACTCAATTCAAATTTGCTGTAGATTTAGATACTAATCCAGAACGGAAAGCTATTGTAAGGATTGTTAGACGATTTTAATTTTAATTAAAAATAAATAAATGTGTAAATACAATTAATTGCCAATATATTCGGTGCCTTCATTTTTATTTGTTTTCCCATTAATTTTGCAATAATAATTATTAAATTTTTATAAATATACATGTATATTAATTTTTTAAATTTTAAACAATTTTATTTTAAATTTAAATTTTTGTTTTAAAATTTTAAATTTGGCTCAAATAAACATTTTTAATATTGCCTTCTTTTACATTATTTTTTATCTATTTTTTTTTAATTTTTCCTATAAATATGTTTGCATTTTTAATTAAAATTTTATTTAAAATACAACTTTTATAAATTAAAAAATTAGAAATTTAGAAAAATAATTTATTTAAATATTCCTTTTCTAAACATCACACGCGTCTTGCGGCAGAAAAAAGAAGGCTTGTTAGTCTCGCGCAATTTTTCTCATACGCAAGAAGTGACTTTTATGTAAGCATGTTTATTAAATATTTTTGTTTCACTAGATTTAAAAACAAAATTTTATTTAAAATTTATTCACAATTTCCATCTTAAATTTACAAAAATAAAAAATAACTTTTCAATTTTTTCTTTCAATTTTTTTCATCTTTTTCCATCTTCCCAAGTTGAAACAATAAAAGGTTCTAAAGAAAAATCGTCATTAATTACTGTTGATTGGTCAGCAATTAATGGCGGTAATAGTGGCTGTGAACGTCGAAATCTATTGTTTTCTATTAGTAAATTATTTGGAATAAAACGATAGGGCAATCGAAGATCGACACCTCCTAATGAACTCTGAAAATAATAAAATAAAATTTAAAAAAATATAAGTATTTCGGTACTCTTGCCATCTAAGAGGGCCGTAGTCCTCTAACCAATATGAAACTTAATTATTTTTCCTCTCTTTCCTATCATTCGAAATCTTTTTATCACTTCTTACTAACAATTAAAAATAGTCAACGGATTGCGACCCTCTTAAATATTTTTTATAAAATTTAGACTTGAATTAAATAATTCAAAAAAAATTTTTAATTATTTTTTTTTGTAATAGATAGCTGTGATAAAGAACCTTTTTCAAAAATTTAATTTTAAAATTATTTACCCTTTTTAATTTAAATGACGGTCGTGCCAAAATTTGAAGAAAAATAATTGAAGAAATAAACAAAAATAATAGAAAATTATTATTAAATAATTTCATTCTCTAAATTACTTTTAAATTAATTTAAATAAAATGTCTAAATAATTTATTTTTAAAAAATTATTTTTACTATATTTTAATTAATTTAGTAAAAGAATATTATAATTTAATTTAGTATTTTACAATAAAAGAAATAAAAAAATTATAATAAATTTCCGCCTCCTTTTTTTTTAATTTTTTTTCTATTTTTAAAAGACAATTTTCTATATAAAATAACTGTTTTTTTCCTAAAAGCATCATTTTTTCAATTAATATTTTTAGAACAATTCAAGCAATAATTCTAAGAATATATTTTTAGAAAAATTAATAAATAAATAATTTAATTATTGTAAAAACTGTATTACAATGACCTTTTGGAAATTTGGAAAATAAAATAGGTACCTAGAAAAGGGACACGCCCAAGTACATTTTTTTCTGGACTTTAACAATTCTGGTATCAATGTCTTTAATTCAATGAGAGGAATCTTTAATACTAAATTTTGAAAGATTCGTAAATCCTAACTAGTTACAAGACTTGTCCCAATTATCAAATAATAATCCGCCAGATCTTATACTCATTAAATAGAGCATTAAATGGAGTATATAATCAGACAAAAATTTTTTCCTAAAATCGATGTTTAGCTGAGAATACTCTTCCCTCCCCCCCCTCTCCCCCTCCCAACTATTTTCTTATTTTGAATTTAAATTTTAAAAACTTTTTAAAATTAAAAAAATTGTTACAAATATAAAAAAGAAGTATGTATTTAATTTAAATTTTGCAAATATTTGTTTCTTAGAAATTATTTTTTATTTCCTTTACTAGTAACTTTTGAATAAAATTGTTTTACTTTTTTTAATAAGTGTCAATTCTCTTTTTTTTTAATTTTTAAGTTCAAAGCTTAAAAGTTCTTTTTAAAAGAATAAAGGAAAATTGACGTTATTTTAATTGAAAAAAAATAATTTTAAATTAAAAAAAGGAAGAAAATATTTTAAATTAAAATAAAATAAAGTTTTTCAGAATACATAACAGACCAAATTTCTTTCTGGCGGGGCTAGGGGGTAACAGATTTTTGTCCAAAACTGAATATAAACTTTTTTTGGATATTAAATTAATCTATTTTATTATCTAACTACCAAAAAATAGAAAAAAATTTTTCCGGAAGAATTTGGCAATAAAAAATTTTTTAAATTCTTTTTATAATTTATTTGAACATTTTTATATGTTCAAAAATAGATACAAAAAATATCAACGTCAGTTTATATTTTTTGCAAATCTAAATTTAATTTAAAAATAGAGACACTCATCTGGTTGAAAAGAAGAAAAGTTTTTTTAGGAAATTACTAGCCCCCCCCCCCTTTTTTAATTATATGTAACACCCACAAAAACTATTTTTGGAGGAGAAGTAAATAAATATATATTTTAATTTAAAAGTAAAGAAGAACTTTTAGAAAATAAACTTTTTAAAAAAAAAAACAAAAAATAAACTTAAACTTTTTTATTATTAAATTTAAAAAGTACTTGAAGGAGGAAATGAAGAAAAAATGTAAACAAAAAAATTTTTGTGTTATTATTGTCTAAAAATGGACTTAAAAATAATATTTAGGTATTTTTCAATCCCACCCACATTATTTTTAAGAAAAAATTATTTTATTCAAAAAAAATATTTTATTTCAATTTTTTGGCATTTACCTCTTTAATTTATAAATTTATTTTAATTAAATTTAATCAATACCATTAATAATATTTAAATAAAATAAAAAGGAAAAGAAAAAGTGTAAATATTACATACAAGTAAAAAATTTTTTTTTTGAATTATTATTCTTAAATTCGAAGAATTCTTAATAATTATATATTATATATTTTTTTAAATTTTAAATAGCCAATTTAAAAATTTTTTTTAAATTAAAAATTAAAAAATTATTTAATGTTTATACAAAAAAATATTTAATTTTTATAAATATTTGAAAAAGAATGTGATTTATTTTAAATAATTGAATTAATTTAGAGTTTTTACTTCCTTTATAAATTTATTAAGTCGAATTTAATCAATTTTGTTAGATACAAGACAAGCACCTATAATCATATCTAGAAGAACTGATCCAGAAACAGATGGACAACGTGGAATGGATGGATGGTACAAGAATGAGACTTTGTTTTGAATATTTATTTTTACCTTTAATTTGTTTACTTGAGAAAATAGCCCTTCTGGGACGGACATATAGACAATTTTTATGTCGAATTTTAGCAAAAATCTATTACACACAATCTTTATTATTGTACCCATTTGCCTTCACATTTAATATTTTTTAGTCGATTTATTTTTTCATTTTTATTTTCTTTGTTTATTTAGCTTTTTTTACTTTTTCGATTAATCCCAACTGCCAACGTTTTCTTGAAAGAAAAAATCACAAAAAAAGAGAAAGTAACGAGAACACGCAGTCTAAGAAGATAAAAAAATATTTTAGAAAAGATATTGAGAAGGTAGAAAAACTGAAAAAAAAAGATAAAGAAAAAAGACAAACAAAAATTCTTGGAAAACGCCCCCATACGTAAAAATTTGTCTTTTGTAAAAGAAAGAAAAAATACAAGAAGTGAAAGTGCACGACATTATAATGTCTATATTTATTTTAAAAGTGTTCGAAATAAACGCCTTTAATGAAGTTTCTTTTATCATGAATTCTTATAATTGACAGATAAATTTATTAGATTATAATCTTTTTAATATTCTAATTTGACGGTATCGGAATTTTAAACTAAAATTTTAAACAAAACTAATTTCTTTTGTCAATAGTTTCTTGTAAATATAATTTTAAAATTATCGTTTTTTAATTAAAAAATATTAATTTCAATTAAATTTAAATTATTAAAAATCTATTGAAAGAAATATTTTTTAAAGTAAGTGGTTTAATAAAATTTAAAAGAGAATTTTAAATTTTATTACTATGTTAAATAAATAAATATATCAAAAAAAGCTAAATAATTACGTAATTCTCTACTATTCCATTATATTTTTATTTTCAATTTTATTATTAACAAAAAAAAGAAAATATTTTTAGTTAATATTTAAATAATACATAATAATTATTTTCATCATTTTTTATAATCTCAATTCAAAAACTTATTCATAAAACCCTTATGAAGGAGCCATGTTTTCGTTGTAAACGGCCAACTTATTTCAATGATAAAATAGGCCCATTAAAAGATGGAACACTTTTCCATAAAGGTTTTAAATTAATTTAATTTTTAAAAATTCCTAATCTTTTTAAGGATGTTTTAAATGTTGGATTTGTGGAAGGTTTTTAATTTATTTAAATTAATTCTAAATTAAAACTATTTTAGCCGCCTTTCTCTCAACACTTATTATAATAATAGAAATGATACACAAGATTTAGAGGTATTTAAATTTAAATTTAAAAATATATTTGTACTTGAAAGTGAGTGACAAAAATAAGAACCAAAAGGGAATTATAGCTTTTTAGAGTAGGGTAGCACCCCGAGCCTTCGGGGTAGGGTGTGTCGGGGATCAGGGTTTGTCGGGGTAGAAGCTTTGGGTCGGGGTTTTTGTCAAAAAATTGTCGGGGTTTCGGTGGACAGGGTGCTATCTTATTTTCGAAAGATAGGAGAGAATTTTGGTTAGAAAAGCCTCAAGTCTCACTTAAATTGTTAAACTAAACATTAATTATTTTAACCTAAATAAATCTTAATTTTGCCTATTTCAAAGGTATATTGTGCAGGCCATGTACCGACACCTGGTTAGTCTGAATAATTAATTTTTATTTTAATTAATTTATTTTTAGGACCTCATCATCCAATTCCACACCGATCTAATCTATTATGGTCTCCAAAAACAAAAGGCGAATATCCTCACAATTTAATGCGCACGTGAAAATATGATGGAAAAATAAAATTTAAAAAACGTGTCAAATTTTATTAAATATTTTTGTGATTTAAAAAGATTATAAATAAATAAATTTAGTTTAATTTTTGCAAATTTTTTTATGAGCTTCAGTACGATGAAATGGCAGTAGTTGCCCTTTTAGATTATATGTCCTTTGTGTAAATAGTTACTTGGCAATGTGTCATAAAGACAATATGCAAATTAGATATTTAATATTTTTTACCAAAACAACATTTAATCTATTAGTTACCATATCAACACTAAAACTTTGATTAAATTACGGTTAACCTAATATATTTATTGTTAGTCCACTAAAAATTTTTTACAGAAATTTTTTACGTTTGATTTTAATCTTTTATATTCTATTTATTAGATTTAATTTTCAATGGGCAAAAAACAACATCAAAGTGATAAATTGTAGGTTTTTAATGTAAATAAACTTTTCTTATAATTTTTAAAGGTATCTGACAACAAAAGAATGGAGAGATGTATATGGTGGTCACAAAGATGGTAAAAATAAAATTTATTTTTTTATCAAAAAATAATTTTAAGATACTGCTACAAAGATACAAAGAGCACAATTTAAACGTCTTCCTTTCACTCATTGTGCTCTTTCTTTTCTTCCTTTTGAAGACCCTGTCTGCACTCCAGATGGAATTATTTACGATTTAAGGTTTTTTCTAAATTAATTTATTTTTATTTTATTCATTTTGTTTGTTTTTAGCCATATTACTCCTTATATTAAAAAACATGGATTGTGTCCAGTTTCTGGCAAAAAATTGACAAATAAGGACTTGACTGTACTTACTTTTGCTAAAGACAAGGATGGTAAATAAATTTTATTTTAAATTTTTATTTATCGTTTTAAGGAAGTTTTCGTTGTCCAGTTACCTATAAAATTTTTACTCAAACAAGTATTATTGCTGCAATTCGCACAACAGGAAATGTTTACTCTATGGAAGCAATTGATGAGCTTAATTTGAAAAGGAATCATTTAAAAGATTTATTAACTGATAAACCCTTCCAACGAAAAGTTTTTTTTTCAATTTATTTTTAATTTAAAATTTATATTTTTAGGATATTATAATTCTTCAAGACCCCCAAAATTTGGATAAATTTAATATCGAACATTTTTATCATGTTCAGTTTGACACAAAAACAAAAGAAACCCTTTTAGAAGAAAAATTAGCTATGCAAAGTCCAAAATATTTTTTAAATTCTTTAAATAATGAAGCAAAAGAAGCACTTTCACAATTAGAGAAACAATATGTTCAAAAGGTTTTTTCTTTCTCCTTAATTTTTTTGAAAAAATCAAAAATAGACTGAAGAAAAACCAAAAGAACAAATTGCTGATTCTATAAATGCTGCACATTTTTCACAAGGAAAAGTAGCGGCTGGATTGACTTCGACGACAATGGAGCCTGTAACAAATAATAAAGCAGCTATTTTGGATGAAGATGATGTTAAGTAAATAGTTCTTTAATTAATTTATTTTTAATTATTTAAATTAAAGATATTCTCGAGTGACTCGTAATGGTTATGTTCGTATTGTAACAAATTTTGGACCTTTAAATTTGGAGCTATTTTGTAAACACGCTCCACGTGCTTGTGAAAATTTTATTGTTCATTGTAGAAATGGATATTATAATAATACAATATTTCATAGAATTGTTTCTGGATTTGTGGTAAATTTTTGATTTTCTTTGTGCATCTTTTCGATTTTTTTGTTTTAACAGTAACATTAACTTTTTTTTGTTTTTCAGCTTCAAGGTGGTGATCCTACTGGCACTGGAACTGGTGGTGAATCTATTTGGGATAGGCCATTCAAAGATGAATTTCAAGGCACATACAAACATGACCAAAGGGGTATTCTCAGCATGGCTAACCGAGGAACTGATACTAACCGTTCACAATTGTAATTTAGGAAAAATTCCGTCATATGTCCCGGAAACCGATTCGGACGAACGATATGTCATTCGAAAGATCTCGCCGAGCTGAGTCGAACGGCACCAAAATTAGCTTGGGGACTCACATATGGGCCGAGATATAGGTCCCCGAAAATCGAAAAACAAAAGGGGGGACCAAGCACTTTTTTGGGGTGAAAAATTCGATTTTACAAATGATAGCTCATTCGAAAGAGCTCCTTGAGCAGAGTCGAATGACACCGAAATCGCCGTAATTGAACAAGTTTAGACAAAGTTACAACACAAAAAAACAAACAACATAAACCTATGGGGCGTCGGCGAGGCGCTTGTGCAAAACCTCGCGCTTCGCGCGAGGTTTTGCGGCACGCGCCTCGCGGGGAGTCTACGGGCGCTGGGTCTGGGTTCGTAACATAAACTTATGCCTAATTTAGCTGCGGTCGGCATTCTGGCTTCCTCCGCAGCAGCAAAAACCTGCACGTAGGCTAAGGTAAGGAGCCAAAACAAATGGTCATAACTTTGTCAAACCAAGTCGGATTTCGCTGATATTGGTCACATTCGACTCAGCTCGAGGAGCTCTTTCGAATGAGGTATAATTTGCATGTTCGAATTTTTCACCCCAAAAAAAGTGCTTGGTCCCCCCTGTTGTTTTTCGATATTCGGGGACCTATATCTCGGCCCATATGTGAGTCCCCAAGCTAATTTTGGTGACGTTCGACTCAGCTCGGCGAGATCTTTCGAATGACATATCGTTCGTCCGAATCGGTTTCCGGGACATATGACGGAATTTTACCGTAATTTATTTTAATTAACTATCTGTCTCAATTTTTATTTAGTTTCATAACATTTGCTGCCTGTCCAAATTTAGATGGAAAACATACAGTTTTTGGACGTTTAGTTGGTGGGGCAACAACATTATGTGCTATAGAAAATGTCGAAACTGATAAAGAAGATCGACCGTTAGAAGATGTAAAAATTATGGCTGCTGAAGTTTTTGTTGATCCATTTGAAGCGGCGGCCGAAGCAGTCAAGATGGAAAGAAAAGCTTTGGCTATTAAAGGTAAAAAGAAAATGGAATTATTTTAAATTTTGCTTCTTTTTAGCAAATTCTACCTTATCAGAAGAAGAAACTAATCGAAATAGACAACAACAGACAGAAATTCAAAAACCAAAATCATACTCTTCAGGTGTAGGGAAATACATTAAACCAGAAATTAGAATTGCAGTTAGGAGAGCAGCGGTAATTTATTGAATTATTTTATTATTTTTTTGAAATTATTTAGAATGAAGATACATCAATGATTGAAGTAAAGAAAAAGGTACCACCGATTTTATAATTATTTTTTAATTGACAGCAAAAATTTGACAAAAAAAAAGAATTGAAAGTGATAATAAAAAATATTTAAAATTTGATTTTCTTTTAATTCGAAAATTTTTTGTCCCATCATTTTTAATATATTTGTATTTTCAATATAAATAAAATGTGTAAAAGTGATTTATTTTGTAAAGATTAATTTTATTCTCATGAGAAATCCTTAAATATTTTTAAATTTGATTTTCTCGTAAAAATGTTAAATTTGTAGAAATTAATGGATGTTAAAAAACAAAATTCTAGCAAAAATGAAATTGATGAGGCAACATACAATCAAATTGCTACAATGTTTCAAAGACCGTCACAAGTTGAGAAAATAGATGAATTACTTAAGAAAGCTGAAAGGAAAAAGGTTTTATTTTTATGTAAATTGGTGAGTATGTGTTAAAGAATTTTTCGACAAACTTGGGATTAAAAACTGAAAATGCTAGTTTTTGATAGCTTGAATGGCATTTTATTTATTTTAGGCAGCTGTAGAGGCAATGTTAAGAACTGGTGTTCAATCACAGCTAGAGGGTATTCGATCAGCTATTTCTCATATGCAAGTAACCGCTGAAGAAGTTTTGCAAATTGGAAAGAGGTAAATGCTTTTGAATTTTTAATTATTATTTTAAATTTTAGTATGCAAGAAATTGGCGAAAAATTGCAATCTATACCAGAAACTCGCAATCGTTTAAGTATGCTATCAAAGGCAAACAGTCAACATAGTCAATATGCGATTGCTGTGGAAAATTTTAAACATATTTTTAATTTAGTGGACACAGTAGAGAAAACACACGAGTAAAAAAATTTTTTTTTAATTTTATTGACTGAATATAAAAATTTTTTCCAGATACATTTTAGAAAATAAACTTTTACATGCACATAAAAATATTATGGAATTGGAGAATGCGAGAGATGATTTAATGTTTGAAGTACATAAATTGAACTCTGAGCGGAGGGAATATGACAAAAATGTTGGTAGTTTTTGAATATATTTAAAATTTATTTGTTAAAAATATTGGGGACTTTATTTAAAAATAATTTTATTTAATTAATTTAGTTGCTCAAAAATTATTTTACCGATCTTGACAAACTTGTAAATGATCTTGCTAAACAAGTTTGGTATATTTGTTCGAGAGCATTAGAAGCCGTTCAAGGAAATGATAGTGCACTTCAACAATTAGTTTCGGCATTAAGGATTATTGAAAGGGAAGAGAGGTTTGGAGTTTTTGTTAATTATTTTTTTATAGATTTGGACTCCATTGAGAACCTTTGATTTCCGTAGTTTTCTTAATTTCAAGCTTTTACTCTGAAAATTTTTTAATATTTTTAAAAAGGATTGACACCTATTATTTGGACCAACGACCAGTTTCCAACGATTTTATGCCTCCCGGTCGACCACGACAATGGTGACGACAACTTTTCGAAGTATTGGCTAAAAATGTACGGGACAGACTAGAAGGCAATCAATTAGAAGATAAGGCAATAAATAGGCAATGGTTGGCAAGGTTTCTCTTGAATATTTTGTTTGAATTTAACAAAATATTTTTATAGATATTTGGAAGCTTGTAGACGTAAAGTTGTTTCTGATTTAAAACTTGTAAAAACTTGTCTTGCTGCTTGTTTTCCACCTGATTATAATATTTATGATCGTTATATTAAATATTATCATGACAGCATTTCTTTTCAGGTAATTAATTTAATATTAAATTGTAATTATTTTTAAATTGAAAAGTTTCAAAAAATTCTCGTTAAAGAAAAGCTCCTATCAAATTCATAAATGAAACAATTTTAGTATATTTATTTTTAAAAAATTTTTAGATCAAAAACATTGCATCCAGCCCTTTAGAAAAGAATGAACTTGTACAACTTTTAAGTTGGATTCAGGCATATCCGTATGTTTTTTCTCAAGAAACTAAAAATAATTTTTTAGAGGTAAACAAATGCTTGGTGATCCACATTTGGGCATCCAAGCACAATCTCTTGTACAAGAACAACCACTTTTGCCTCGTTCTACAAAAAATCATTTATGTGATCGGTAAATATTGACTAAAAACAAAAAATCTTTTTTTAAGTTTTATTGAGATTACAAGAAGGGATATGCATGATTGGCTTAATAAAACACTAATTCAAGAGAAGGATGTAAAGATTAAAATGATTTAAAGAATATTTTTTTATAAATTTTGTTAGGATTGGTACAAACATGTTTTGCCTGAAACTGACAATGATAAACATTATTATACCCAATTACCAAGTATTTTGTTTGGAATGGTGGAAGACACGGTTATTTATAAATTTTATTTTTTTTTTATTTTAAAATATTTTTAGGTAGCTCTTTCGAAAGAAATTTCTCAAGATATTATTCCTCGTGTTATTGATATTGCTGTGGATGAATTTGCTATTTTCTCTGGGAAATATAAGGATGCTGCAATGGCTTATAAAGGAAAACACTTTGAAGATCGTTCTCTTTTCCAACATTATACAGCTACGATTGTAAGAAGAAAATTTTTTAATTCTCTTAATGTTTCTCATAAAGATTGCAATTGCAAACAATTTGGATATTTGTCTCGATTCTACAGATAAACTTGAAAAAAATATTCGTTTAACAATGGAATCTAATGGTAGTGGGGGTGCATTATCACCAACAGAACAATTGGGAGAATTAAATGGAAATGGGTCTCTCACTACACGTTCTACAGCTGGCGGGTTTTCTGTTGTTAATAGACAAGAATTAATTGACAAAATGGAACAATTAAAAAAGAAATTTGATGTTGGAATACAATTTACGTTAGTTATTTGGAGGGGAAAGAGGATAATTTTTTGTAATTTATTTTTAAGAATTTCTGCTCTTTTGGAAGAAGTTTTAGAAGATATTATTAAACATTTAGAGCAAATAATGACACGTAGTTGGTTAATGGGATCTAATGATTTGGAAACTATTTGTATTACAATTGCTGATTATTTTAATGATTATAAACATTTACGTGGACATATTAGAAGTATGTTAATGAGAGAATTACTTTTTAAACTTGTTGCTGAATTTATGATTGGAATTGATGTTCGGTAATTGAAAATAAATATTTTGTTTGTAATTAATTTTTATAAATTCAGTCGATTAACTTTCAATAAATATGAGGAACGCCATTTGGCTGTTGAACGATTAAAGACCGACGCTAAACGAATTCAGCAACTTTTTTCTAAATTTTTCGACGATCCTGAATTTCAGGCGATTATTTTTTAAAACCTAATAAGTCTAATCCCTTTATAATATACCCTAGCTAGTGTGTGCAACTCATTTAGTGTACGATTTTTCAGTCCCGAGGACGTAAAACTATAACGAGGTTAGACTATATTACTTTAATTTAAGATGCCAGCAATAGTTAATATTCTTCCTGCTATTGGAGAAATGTTAGATTTAAGAGATAAAACACTTTTGGGACTTGAAGCCTCTTCACTTGTTCGAAAATATCCAGACATTCCTGTTGAATATCTCACTTCTTTAATACAAATACGTGAAGATATTGGACGAGCTGAGGCTAAGTAATTACAATAATTTTACATTAAATAAAAATAATTTTTTTAGAAATATTGCTGAGGAAGCAGTCAACAATGCTCGTTATCACCCTAAAGGGGATCAAGATGCTCAAAAACTCTTTCAAATGTCCAAACCAGGCTTAACTTCAAAAACTGGAAGAGCATTGCCCGCTCTTGAATCAACAATGCATAATATGTTTGCCACGATTATAACAACTACAAAAGGGGGAATACAGGGAAATAACAAGTGAATTTATTGTTAGCTATCAAAGATTACAAATTTAATCAGGGAAAACTTTCCTTTTAAATACTCTTTTGGTTGAGTTTTGGTGACAAAAGTCTGTCTTTTATCAGCGAGTCAAAATACAGGGTGTTTCACCAGAAAAGCCCTTTTTGAAAAATTAATAACTTTTTTCAATATTGACATATTTTAATGATATTTTGTATTTTATATCTATAATTTATAAGGTTTTTTTTGACATAAAAATTATGTCTAAATTCGAACCCTAACCCGAGATAATTTCGTACTCTACCGCTCTGTTTTTCCCTTTTTCCCCACATGCGTTCTTACTCCCTTTTGTTTGCTACGTGCGGCGAAAGACAATAGAGTAAACACTAGGCGATAGACACTACATTTTCAATACAGTATCTACTCTTCGCCATACACAGGAAAATAAATGAAGTAAGATAGCACACAAAGAAAATAGAAAGAAAAGAGAACGGTAGAGTACGAAATTGAAATAATGGGTTAGGGTTCGAATTTCGACATAATTTTTATGCCAAAAAAAACCTTATAAATTATAGGTATAAAATACCAAATATCGTAAAAATCTATCCACGCAGTAAAAAGATATTAATTTTTCAAAAAGGGCTTTTCTGTTGAAACACCCTGTATTTATTTTCCTTTTTTATTCATAAAGAGAGATTCGTTTACTTTTGTCACCATAAACGGACAAGAGTCCTCTTTTAAATACAGCTGATGCTCCTATTTAAAATATTTCTAAATTACTCGAAACTATCTAGTAACAGAATGTTAAAAGTATTGGATATTTTAGACTGATAAAATAAGTAGAGCTGTATTATTACAAATACTGTATTATTTTTTGTGCTTTATTATGTGATATATAAGAGTTTCCTTTACTAATTAATTTTATAGTTTTTTTTCTTTCCTTTTTTTCTTTTTAATGATTTAATTTATATATAAAATTACATCATAATATATTTTAATCAGTCCATTTAATTAATAAAAAGAGAGAGAGGAAAGAGCAAGTTTAAGGGAATTCCTTTATCATTTTCATTAATATTTTCCCTATTTTAAATATTATTTTTATGTTAACTACAAATATTATATTCTAAATAATGTGTACTTTAACTTCAATTTATTGTTATTATTCTGTTAAGCATTTTTAAAAAATTTTTTTTAATACTTAAAATATATTGGACAAAAAAAAGAATTAAAATTCAGAAATATATTTAGTAATTGTAATAAAATAAATATACCTAATCGTCTGTCATTTGTCACATGTTTTCTCTAAAATAAATTTTCTAATATTTAAATACTTTACTTCATTTTTTATATTTTCTTCTCTTCCATTTTTGTATTTTATTGACATCATTTTTGTATTTTTATAAATTTTTGTTAAAATATATTTTTATAAATTTTATTTTCTAGTTATAAAATTGAGCACAAAAATAATTTAAAAAGACTCCACAGTAAACTTTTATTATAAAAAAATCTAAAATAAAACTGTCACAAGAATTTATTACTAATTTCGTTCACATATTTAATTTTTAAACAATTTTTATATTTTTGTTTAATTACTATATTTTTTAATAAAAATTTAAAAAAATATTTTTTATATTTAAATTGTTTTTAGACAGAATTTTCTAAAAATTTTATTTATGGAGCAAAGGGATTCTAACCTCAACTTGGATAATTACAACGAAAAACAAATGGAGGAAGGAGAATCTTCTAATAGGTTAACAAAATTGAAGACTATAGAGATAGAATAGTAGAATACCTACCTAATTAACTCTACCATAGGCGGGTCGGAATTCCTATTTCCGACGTTTTTTCCTTTTGATTTCCGAAATTTTGAAAAGATTTCCGACAATATTTAAAGAATATTTTCTGATTAAAGATTTTTTCAAAGTTTTCGCCTGCGGCATTTAAAAACGGGCTCTTGTATTTTCAGTTGACTAATATAATAATATTTTTAATTTTCCCAGTTTTGCCAACCTAGAAGTTGATTTATCTCAAAGATATGTAGAAACAATTCCTCTAACTCCTTTTGTCGGAGATTGTGCTCCCTACAAAGAATATGACAGAATTATTTCTTTAAATTTATCAACTAATCGTTTTATTCATTTTCCTTTACTTGTTTGTCAATTTAAAAATTTAAGAAGGTGTTTTTGTTTATTAAAATATTTTTTAAATTTTTTTCTTAGATTAGATATTTCAAATAATCAACTGGCTTCTCTTCCAAAAGATTTTTCTTCATTAAAATACTTAACCCAATTAAGCCTTCGAAATAATCTTCTCGAATGTTTACCTTTCGAATTTCAACAATTAAAATTATTAGAAGAATTAAATATTTCTGGAAATTTATTAGAACAATTTCCTTTTGAATTATTGCAATTAAAACAATTAAGAATACTTTATTTGGGCGGAAATTTAATTGAATATATTCCAGCAGCTATTGCTAAATTAAAAAAGTTGGAATTTTTAAATAAAATTTTCTTTGGTAATATCTTTAGAGCTGTCCTAAGAAGAAAATTTTTTCAAGAGTCAAGATCAAAAAAAGAAAATTTTGAGTCAAAACTTAAGACCAAGAAGTCTTGGACAGCTCTACTATTCCGGTTATCTCTCTCCACCCAACTCTCCTGTTCTTTCTAATTCAGTTATTCTGAACAAAATACTGGATAGTTTAAACTTCGCTATATCCAAAAATAAGCTTACTTCCTCCTTTTGAGTTTTCAATTCTCTTATGTAGATGAAATGAAATATAATTTCGGGCTTGAATCCCATATACTAGCTACACAAAGAAAAGGAAAATAGGGGCTGGAATAACTGGATAGTACATATTTAATTTTTAATTTATTAAGACGGAAATTTATCCAAAAAATATACTTTAAAATTTTCTAAAAAATATCTTCTTTCCTTTTTCAAGTCTCAAAATTTTGTATGTTGGTGGTAACCGTTTAATTGCAGTTCCAGATTCTATTGGTGCTCTTTCTGAATTAACTTCTTTGGGGTTGGCTGATAATCGTTTGGAAAGTATTCCGACAAGTATTGCAAATTTACATAAATTAACAACATTATCTTTGCATAATAATAAAATAAAGGTGTTTGGAAATTAAATATTTAATTTTTAAAAAACAAAGGAAATTGTGGGGAAAGAGGAGGCAAAATTTTAATTTCCAATATTTTATCTCAACTTTGTATCAAAAATTATTTTTTAGGTTTTGCCCCCAGGCATTGCTCGTCTCAAAAATTTGGAACAATTAAGTCTTCGAAATAATCCTTTAGTTACTGATTTTGTTAATGAAATTTTATTAGAACCGCCAACATTAAAAGAATTAGCAGCGAGAATTGTTAAAATTCGTTTTTCAATAAATATATACAGAAATTTAATTCCTTTAGAATTGGTTAATTATTTAAATACTGGTAAAAGTTTAAATATAAATTATGAAAAGATTTTTTAATGAAATATAAAAGGAAGGTTGGTGGATTAAATTTTAAGTGGCTAGTAAAAACTGACATATCTAAAAATATATTTTTAAAATAAAATATAAATTAATGTATTATTTAAGCCAATCAATGTGTAAATCCAAAATGTAAAGGTGTTTACTTCGAATCTTGTTCTGAATTAGTCAAATTTGTTGATTTTTGTGGAAAATATAGAGTTCCCCTTCTTCATTATCTTTGGTTTAATAATTTTAATTTTTTTTCAATTTAAAAAACAATTTTTAAAAGTTCTTCAAAATGTTCAACAATAGAGCCAGCTTATGCCTATACTTCTTCCTCTTCAGCAGAATCTGATGATGATCAACGGCCAATGTCTTCAACTTATGCTAAAGAAAAGATGAAAAAAGTTTTGTTGGGATGAAGAATATTTATATTGAATTTTTAAATAAAATCTGATTTAATTATTTTTAAATTTGTCAAAAAAACATTTTCAAAAAATTCTTTAATGGATAATCTAAGTTAGTAGGAGGGTTAGAAAGAATCTGATGATGATTAATCTTATTTTCCCTTGGAAATTCAATTATATATATTCAATTATATAAATTATTTGTTATTATTGTTTTCATTTTTAAAGAATTTAAAAATTAAAATTGTTTTAATTATTCAAATTTTTAAAGCAAAAGAATATTTTTATTCAAATATTTTTTAAATAAATTTAGGCAAACTCGTTGAAAATACTATTAAAATAACAAAAATATTTAAAGTGAAATAGTCAAAATAAATAAATATAATCACTAGATTAGTCAAAAATTAAATAAAATGTCACAAAAAATATTTTTCCCAAAATTTTTATGTAATTGAGTGAATATTCTAGTGATTACAAAAAAATAAAAAAATTGATATTTTAAATACTATAAAAATAATTAATTGGCACTCCAAAAGTAAATAAAGCAGAAAATTTGAGAGAGAATTTTAAATTCTCCCTTTAAAATTAAAAAAATGTCAAAAAATTAAAACAAAAATTTATTTTACATATTTCCAATAATCCCCCCTCCTTCCTTCATAACCAAAAAATTACCCCTTCCACCAACCAAGCCATTATTATTTAGGACGTCCACAACCATTACAGCGTTTGCGGCAAGCACAGAAAAAGAAAGGCACCAAAAGAAGTCCAAATGGAAGTGTGCAAATTGCAATAATGATGAGGATGGTCAGATAACAACAATCAGTATAGTTGACAAAAGAGCCCTTTTTGTAATTAAAAAAAAGATTTTTTTAAAGAAAAAATTTAAAAATAAAACAAAAATTACGAAAAAAGGGAAAAATATTATTAAAATTTTATTTCCAAAAATTAAAAAAGTATTATTACCATACAAGCTGGACACGGATCAACTCGCAAAGGTCCAGTCGCAGTAACAACAGTAACATTAGTTGATGTATGAGTATTTGTGGTAGGTTGCGGTGGAGGTTGTGGATTGACTAGAAAAAATAATTATTAAAAAATTTAGGCAAAAATATACTTAATTCAAATAAAAATATTTAAAAAAATAAGTATATCTTACAATAAGATCAAAATTTAAAATACCATTATAAATAATTTGAGGAGCCGGAGCTGGCGGATAAACATAATGTGGAGGTGGCTGAGTCGGCATAGGCATAGGAGGTTGTACTGAAGTTGGCATTGTTGTAGTCGGTGCATAAACGGGGTATGGCGGAACTTGTGGATAATTAAAAGTCTCCTTTAAAAATGTTCCTTTTTGAGAATTTTATGTAAAAGTTTTTCGTTAAAAGTTTATAACATCGTTTTAAATATTTTAGAACCCAATTTTATATCAAAACCTGGTAAGGTGGAGGGTCTGGATTAGTCTCACGTCCATTGGCACCCGTTTGCAAAGGCAATTGATTTTCACGTTGGACCTTTAAAAATAAAAGATTTAAAAATATTTTTTAAATTTTACCTGAGGATATGGTGGTGCTTCACTTGGTGGAGCCGAAGGAATTGGATTATTTTGATTGTCTTGCTTTCCCATTTTTTATTTCAAATAAATTTAATAAAATACCTAAATTTATTTTTAAAGAAAGAAAAAAAATAAAATATTTAAAAAATAATTTTTTAATTTTTTAGGTCAACAAATTAAATATATTTTTTATTTATTTTTATTCAAAAAAATCAACAAAAAAACAATTGTTTAACAACAAAGTTTGAGCAAAACTCTAGCAGAAATTCAAAAAAATTAATTTTGAGTAGAAGGATAAAACAAAAATTGTGTAAATGACTAAAACAGATTTGTAAGTGATGGAAAATCAAAAAATAAATAATTTTAATATTTAAAATTATTTAATAAAAAACTGATTCATTTTCGATTTTAGATGATGACAGAAAATTTTTCTTTGGAATTTTAAGAAAAATTAAAAAAATATTTTCTTTTAAATTAAGTCAGAAAAAAATCAGTAATTTTTAAAAAAATATTTATTTTCTCAATTTTGTAATAAATATGTATTCCCTTTGTTACAAAAATAAATAGACCGATTAACCTTTTTTTACAATTTTTATTCCCCCCTCTGAAAAAAAATATTTTTGCTATATAAATGTAGAAGCTACTATATGTTAAGTGTTGTCCCCAATTTTTGTTTAGAATGATCAATCAAATGCTTTTTTAAACAAAAAAAACAGAGAAAATAAATATTTATTCACACCCAATGTGAATAACTAAAAGAATAAATATGCTTAAAAGAGAGAGAATGAGTCATTGTAATTCTTATGTTAAATAAATGTTAAATTAAATATTTTAAAGGAAGTGATAAATTGCCTAGTTAAAAATATTTTCGAATTTTTAAAAGTTTAGATAAAAATATATAAAATTAATTTCAAAAATAGAATAATTAAATACTTTTCCTTAATAAAATTCTACCCAAATTATTCAAAAAAAATTATTTGAATAAAATCTTTGACCCCCCCCCCATTTTTTTGAAATTCCATCACTAACAAAAGGGAATGAAATACCTAAAAATAAAAAAAAATAAAAACTATTTTTTACTTTTCATTTTCTTGTAAAACTCTGTGTGCTTTCATCGGCAACATTAATGGTTGGTCTTCTAAAACAGCAACAGAATGCAGATGTCCACCAAAACGGTAAAGAACCTTTAACATTTTTGGTTCGCCCGGGCAAGGATCAAAGAAACCAGGCATTTGATCCTTAAAATATTAAAAATGTTTTAATGTTTTAAAAATGTTTTAAGTCACAAAAAATTATTTCAAAAGAGAAATGTTAAAAAAATAACACAAAAAAATTTCAGAAAACATTCACAATTATGTTCTACCAGATTTTTATATTTTATTTTTTACCTTTCCACTATAAATACGTAATTGTGAATCGTGCACATATGCCTGTAATGGAATAGTAACATCAACAACTTTATCACCAAGTAAAGGATATAATTCCGAAGCAGGTCTATCATTCTGCATTTGCCCATAAAAAGCTTCAATTATTACAAGCCCATTTTTACGTTTTTCTTCGTTTGCTACTTTTTCTGCATTTGCACGCATTAATTCAACGGCTTTTTGTGCTTGTTCTTTTTTTATTTCAATTAACTTGAAAAATAATTTTATTACTTTATTAAAATTGTAGAAACTAGGAAAAAAGGAGATTTAATTAAAATTTAACAAATTCATGTAAGGAAAAATCACTTTAAATTAAATTAAATCGCCCCCATATTAAACGTTTTTTGACTTATTCTGTTTTTAACTGCCCTTTAGATGGCAATAAATTTCCTTACCACTTCATCTCCATTTAATTGATTTCCCGTCAAAACTTCAAGAATCCAAGAAATTTGTTTTCTAAATAATAATCTCGAGACATTCAAAAAAACAGCAGGCAATATTATACCATATAAACATGAAGTAACAATATCGTCTTGTTGTTCACAAAGCATAACACGAAATTCATAATTATTTAAACCTGTTCGAATTCTGAAAAATAAAAATTTCAAATAAGGAATTGAGAAAATGCTTCAAAAAAATTAAAAAAAATTCAAACAATTTTAGAAAACGAACCGAAAACTCGCCTGTAGCATAAAAGAAGGAAATGAAAAAAGTAAATTAACACCAATTTTTGAAAATTTTGTAAGACGTTTTTCAATTAATAGAGAAGGCGTAAATTCACTAAGAGCAAGAACGCAGCTTGCTTCATAATGTAATTCATTTTGTGGATATCTCAAATGATATGTAAGCCGAAGTGATGGTTGAATTGGAGAGATCTAATGAAAGAAATTAATTATGAAAAAAAAAAAAATAAAACGAGCACTACATATCACAAAAATCAAAAAAAATTTTCTCACAGTTAAATTGCAAGCAAATTGTGGATGGTCAAATTTATTTTTCACATAAGAAAGTATAAGAGATGGATGCCTATTAATTCCAATATTCAATACAATCATTCCTTGATTTCCACCACCAAGAGGAAAACCAACAACTAAAAAAGAATTATTAAATTTTAATTAATAGAGGAAACGGACTAGATCTTTATATAAAATTAAAGAAAAGAAATAACATTCCTATGAACAAATAATAAATTAAAACAAACATGGAGTTAAAATAAAATCAAAATCGCCACGAATAGTATTATATTGAATTGTTGGTTGTAAAACAAAAGAAGAGCCCGTAAGCCAAGAAATCCATCTATGGGTATTTTGGGGAACTGTTAGCACAATTTTTGATGAAGTATTGATAAATGTTGGGCCAAGTGCTATTGAACTCTGAAAATAAATAAAAATCTAAATGAGATAATATTGATAAAATATTGAATTAGATACCTGTAAATGAGTTGAGGAAGAGACCATCCAATTACAAGAAGTTTGTAAATGACCAGTACCCAATCCTTTTTCATTGAATCTGACTTGACCTGAAAGTCCAAGACGGTTTGAAGAACCTATGGCACAGCTTGCGTCCTGATCTAATTTCATTCCAAGTAATGTAAATCTGAGAAAATTTTTAGGAATGCTTATTAAATTCATTTTTTAAGCTTTTTAAATAAAGTAAAAACCTTTCATTTTCTTCATCATCCTCCCCACGTTTAAACATTCCAGCAATTGAGGAGTAGACAACAAAACTTGTGCTAGGTTTAACTCTTTGAAGCATAATTTCATTGTCTCTAAGCCGACAAAGAAAATCATATTCACGACGAATATTCTCTGGATTTGTAGAACGGTTAACGAGTTTCCAGCCCTAAAATTATTAAAAATAAATATAGAAAAATCAAAATAACTTCTAAATCAATTCCTTTAACTCCAAGAGTGTCATAAATCGAACGGAGTTTTGGATCACTTAAAACTGAAAAAAGAAAAACAATTTATATGCCAAATAAATTTTCAGAAAACCTTCTTGTGCTCTTTTAACGGTAACAAAAATTTTGGTAGCTTCACGTCTGTGCGTCTCATCCACATGTCTATCAGGATGAAAAAGAAGACTTCGAAGTTTAAAAGCTTTGTTTATGTCTTCAATTGAGGCCTAAAAATGTTTTGAAATATTTTATGAATTTATATAAAAATAAACAAACATCTCTTGGAACATTCAAAACAGCATAAAAATCTATAGTGTTCTCATCAAATTGTCTTGGATCAAATTCATTTTCATCGGGAAAAGGTGATGCATCTTCATCAAATATAGACATTTGAAAATTCAGTAAATAAAACTTTTAAAACAAAATTATCTGCAAAAATAAAAATTTAAACAATCGCACAAAAAACAAAAAACTGTGAAAAAAAACAAAGTAACCCCAATAAAATTTTGGAAATTTAGATTGATCTTTAAAAAATTTTATTTAAAAAATTATTAAACGGATAAAAAAAATTATTAGACGGATTTTATTAGACGGATAAAAATGCGTTTCAGAATGGCCATTTGTACGGCAGTTTTTGGGCCCTAATTAGTTTTGGGCCCTAAAAATTTTTAGAAATCCGGCATCTTTTTCATAATTGGACTGATTTCCCTGAACATTTTACAACTAGTTATAATTTCTTAACCGTTTTTCTGCGATTATTTGGATGTGCTGGGACAAAATGCCATTTTTCAATATTTTTAAACATTTCGCCAAAGATCTACGATTATTTGGCCCGCGAATAATCGGGTTGTCTCAAATATACTATAAAAGGGTGGATGAAAGTGTTTTTTGTTCACTCATTCATTAAACTTGGAAGTTCATTTTAGGTGAATTGATTTGTATTTTAGCTTACTTTCCCATTATTTATTTTCTTAGACTTTATTCTCATTTTAAAATGTCTTCAAAGATTCTAAAGGTAGGCTTAATGCTTTCCAACAAGTAAGGTTTAAATAGAATTGCTTGAATTTATATTTCTTGTTTAGACAGCAATCAATTAAGGACAGTGTTACTATGTTTGCTCAACAAGTTCTTCCAATTAAAAGTGTCTTTCCGTTGGACTTTATTAAAAAGGCACAATCTGTTGGACTGCTTAACACGACGATTCCAACTCAATTCGGTTCTTATTTTATTCGATAAACAAAGCGAGAAAATTAGGGCAAGTTAGGGGTTTGTGTGGCTCTGAGGCTAATTAAACTTTTCGTTTTAATGGCTAACACGGGAAGGTTGCGAGACATATTCTCTATTGAATGAGACCGGTCTCGACCGTTTTTAGCTTTGACACCTCGCAACCTTCCCGTGAAAGCAAACCATGACTATGAAACACCAAATCTGTCTAAAACCAATTAATTTGTTTTATAGGTGGACAGGGACTGAACGTGTGTGACCACACTTTTCTCAGTGAAACCATTGGTTATGAATGCTCCAGTGTTGGAACCGCTATTTTGGGCAACGATCTGGCTGCTACTCCTTTAATTATTGCTGGAAATGATGACCTTAAAAAGAAGTATTTGGGCATGTTGGTTGAAGAGCCTCTCTTATCGGTTTTTTTAAATTTTTTTAAAGTTTCTAAAAGTCCTTCATTTTAGGCATATTGTTTGCCAGAATATGATGGCAATGATTCCCGACCTAAAATAGAGGCAGTCAAGAAACGGAATGAATGGGTGGTTAGTTTTTTTGAATCCTTTTCCTTTCTAAAAATCACATTTTAAAGCTTAATGGAGCTGATGTTTGGGTGACCAATGGTGCAGCTGCTTCTCTATTCATTGTCATTGCCCGTACTGACTTTAATCCTGAGGCTAGAATTGACAAATCGTTTACCGCCTTTGTTGTTGATGGTAATTCCAAAGGTCTTTTTCGAGGAGAAAAGGTTTCTTTTATTAATTTTTTTGGGTTTATTCGATATTTTTTGTTTATAGAAAGGTACTTTTGGTCAACAATGTATGAATGCCCGAACAATTACTTTTCGTGATGTTGTGGTTCCCTCGACAAATATTATTGGATCTATTGGCGATGGAATGAAAATCGCAAAGATGACTTTTGACAAAACTGGACCAGTTAAATCTGCATTCGCTATTGGACTTGCTTACAGAGCTTTGGATGAGATTGCAGATTATTCACTGGAAGGGAAAGCTTGGACTGATCCCAATGTATTTTTTTTAACATTATCTTCATATTTGTTTAGTGAGGCTTGTTAACATTGTGTTTTGACCTTTGTTTATTCTACAAGTTCGAATGGCCGAAGCCAGGATTTTTTTCGATGGGGGAGGGGCTTCTTGCCTGGTTCGAATGAATTTCTTTCACAAGCCTCACTTTTACCATAATCTACATGTTTATCTTTAAATTGAAATTATTATTTTTTTTCTCACAACAGCAAAAATCTCTTTCCTTTTCGCTGGATGATTTGGAATTTAACTTGGAATTTTCTCGTCAACTTACTCTTAGAGCTGCTCAAGCATTTGATTATGGCAATACTGGTGCTTATGATGCTTCACTTCTTGTTAGTAAGCATGTCTTTGGAAATGCTCAAAATGCTGCTTTTTTTGCCAATGCTGCTGTGGAGGTTTGTGAATTTCGTTTATTGTGATCTTTCACTATAATTTCAGATTTTACGTACTTATGGAGTCAAGCATTTTGATTTTTTGAAAATGGAGCGAGACATTTACTATGTATGATAGATTTTTTTGAGTTTATTATAATTTTAAAAATACTTTAGCTTTTCAATAAAACTCATTGTACAATGTATGGTGAATCTAATGTTTGTAAATTGGCTTCTCCTGCTATATTCCCATTGCGACGTCTGAAAAGCAAATCGGCCATTTATTTGGATGGAAAGGTTTCTTTTATTGTTTATTATTCTGATGTGTAAAGCAAGAGATATCGATTTGATTAAAATTTACTTTTTTTGTTGTTTCCTGATTAACTGACTCAAACAATTTAGGTTCAGCAGAAAATATATCCAACTCCTTTTGCGTTGCTAAAGGATGCGCGAGGTTATTTGCGTGCTGGAAACAGTGTGCAGGCATCAGAGAAGGTTTATCACGTCTTGAATTTAATATGTTAATTATTTTTTAGGCTTATTTTTGTTACAGTGCTACAGTCAAACATTATTTCAAAACGTTTCGTATTTGCATAGAAGGTCATCCTGCAACGCGATTTTTGGCTAGGCTTGCTTCTGAATGTCACCCCTTTGCTTCGTATGATTTAGTAGAGGTTGGCTCTATTGCTGACAAGTACGTTTTGTTTTATTTATTCTGGGTTAAGTTTATTGGTTAAATTTTAACTTTCATTATCAGCTAGGGCGAGCGTTATTCCACTTCCGAAACCATAAATTAGCAAAATTTTTGGAGAAATTTGTATGGGATCGCTGTAATTCTAATCTAAATTTTGATGTCGCCCCAGTTATTTCTTTTAGAGGTGTTTCAACAATAGTCAAATCATTTCCATTTTTACACATTTTTAATTTTTAGTATACACAGGAATGCTTTTCGTGGGTTTCATCAAGGTGATGAGTTAGAAGAAATGATTGACGAAATAGAAAAGTTCTCCATCAAATTTTCTCAAATAGACAAGAAGTCTGTGAAAGAAAAATTACAACGATATTTACCACAAACGAAGGAAAAAGATTTCCCTCGTAATGCAGGCAAGTATCATATGACGATTAGATGGGAACCTAAGCCTTTTTCTGAATATATCTTCGGAGCTGGACCTTTTTATTTCCGATATAAGTGCCGATAATTAAATCTCAATAATCCTCTACATTTATATACCTCTATATTTATATACCTCTATTATATTTATATACCTCTATATTTATTATTTAAAAAAATATTAAATTTGTTTTTGTTTCGCTAGAGTTTGATAATAAAAAATTTTATTTCAACGTTTGTGTAAGCTATTTTATGAATAGGTTGATTTTACACCAATTAAAAAAAATTTTTTTTCTTAGTCTAATGCTTTAAGATATTTATCTAGTTGTCGAATAGTACCTCCCATAGCCTAAACAAACCCCTGTTTCCAAAAGTTTTAGGCCTTACGATTAAGTGGACTCGGGTAAGATAACGTGTAAAAAGAGGAGAGAAAGTTAGAGAAAAAGACGGATTTATCAATTAAATTAAGAACATTGAGAGAAAAAAAAATCATTGATAATACAATTCAAAATTAAATCCGTCATGTATTTCATAATCTTGTAGAGAAATATTGTCCTTGTAAACAATGTTCCACTTTTTCGGACTGGGACAATTCCGTGCAGCCGATTCCGTGCCAAAACCAGTTCCGTGCCGCCGATTCCGTGCCTGCCGATTCCGTGCCGCCGGTTCCGTGCACGTTGTAAAGGGGACGTTTCCGTGCACAAATTTTATTTGTTCTAATTTTTAGTTGATATTTCTGATTTTTTAAAATTTTCTTTTTTATGTTTAGTCAAAACTAGTTTGATGTGTGCCGAACTCCATCCTACGGCTGCAGCAATGGGGAAATTAATAATTTAAGACCAATCTTCTAGAAGTTGTCAACGACGTGTCCGTGCAGTTTGCTGCTGGTGATCTGATGACGAGCGCTGCAAGACAATTTCGGAAGGAATGGCAACCGTGATGGAATTTGTCAACACCAACCTTAACCCAAACGGCCCTCTTTGGGGCCACAAACTTAATAAGTGAAACGAGACAACGACTTTTTATTTATTTTTTTGATAGAATTTTGCTTATTTGCCTAGTTTTTTTTTATTAAAATTTTGTTCCCTGAAGAAAAAAAGTCGAGATCAAGACTTCCCCCTAAGCCCGGAAAACCCCAAGAAAAGCCTAGAGTAAAGACTCGGCTATCTTTTAACATCTTTTTTAGGTCGTAGAAAGTAAGAAGAACAAAAAAATCTACGAGAAACCCCTGTTTTTCATATATTTAAATATTGGGCACGGAAACCTCCCCTTTTACAACGTGCACGGAACTGGCGGCATGGAATCGGCCGGCACGGAACTGGTTTCGGCACGGAATCGGCGACACGGAAACGGCGGCACGGAATCGGCTGCACGGAAAGGTACCCCACCGGATTTTTTAAAGATTTTTTTTATAAAAATACTAAATTCACTTAATTTTAATGTTTAGTTCTACAAAAGTTTTATAAATCTTTTTGATAAATTGAAAAAATGTTAAAACGTGGATGCGCCGGAATGGAACTTGAAATGGATGAGTCAATGCAAACAACGGTTTTAATTTTAATAAATTTTTCTAACAAATTTAAATAAACTTGTTAGCCGCCAAAAAATCCGAGAAGAGAAGATGAAAGGAATGGACAGCAACAAACACCCCAAACGCCTTCACCTTCTCGTTTGGTATATCAAATGAATGTTTTAGACGCAGCTTTGACCCATTATTTTAGTCCTAAAAGAAAATCACCAAGTCGAGTAGCTGGGAGAGCACAAAGGTTTTTTTTGGCTTTTAATTTTTATTTTTCCCTTCTGATTTTAAGAAAATTAAACTTTGGAGTAGTCGATTCTGAACAAGAAGAGGAAGAAAAAGAAGATATTTTAATGGATGAACAAAATATGGAATCTTCAACCAGAAAACTCGAAGTACAAAAAATTGGGAGGAAAGGACCTCTAGATTGTAATATTTCTGCAATTAGGCATTGCTTTAATGTAAGTTTTTGATTTTTCTTTTTTGCTTGATGTTTTTTTTTTAAATTTTCTTATTTTTATTTTTTTAGGAATTGGATGACTATTTACCAAAAAATTTAATTTTAAAAGAAAAGGAATCAAATCTTTTTCAAGAATGGTTTAATTTACTTTTTAGTGGAGAATTTAATATTTTGGTAATTTTTTGAAAAACTTTTTAATTTTAAAAAAGCTTTTTAGGTACACGGATTGGGATCTAAACGGAAACTATTTGAAAATTTTCGAGAATTTTTGTCTTCCTATCATTGCTTTGTTATTGATGGTTTATTTCCTGGAATGTCAGTTTCTACTATTTTTGAACAAATTGAAATTAATTTGGGGCTGAAATCACGTGTAAAATTTAAAACAAAAATAAATGATTGGGCAGAAGGTTTTTTTTTTAATTTTTTAAAATTATTTTAAAATTTTTAAGAATTAATTGACAAAATAAAAGAAGAGTTTATTTTTATTTTAATTAATCATATTGATTCACCCCAACTTCGATCAAGACAACAACAAGAAGCTCTTTCTATTCTTGTTAGGTCAAAGAGGATTCGTTTAATTGCTAGTGTTGATCATGTGAATGCAGCTCTCTTGTGGGACCAGGTTTTTAATTTTTTGGTTAAATAAGACTCGGGGTAATTCTGTATATCGATAGTTGACAACGTTTTATTCATTTAGGGAGCTTAGGCTTAAACATTGATTTATTATATTTTTTTGCAGCAGCAATTGTTTTGTTTTAGGTTTTTCCTTAATCTATTCAAATCTATCAAAATTTAAATAAAATCTCAATTTTTTGCTTTTTTAAGTCTCTCCGTGATGCCTTTAATTGGTTATATTACCCAGTCTCCACATTAAATTGTTATGGAAATGAAGTATTTTCTTCAAATGGAAATATTTTAGACCATCGTGTAAAAGGAGTTAGTGGACGTGCACACACAATAGAATCTTTGGATGTTTTTTGGCAAGCAACAACAACAAATATGAGAAAAATACTTGAACAACTAGCAATTCATGCACCAATGTATTCCGAACGTTTTAAATGGGATTCTCTAAATATTCCAAAATTTTGTCGAATTTTAAAGTTTAATTTTTATAAAAAGGAATTTTTTTGTTAAAATTAATTTTTCTAGAGAGGAATTTGCAACAACATCAGAAACTGTTCTTCGTCAACAATTAATTGAATTTAGAGACCATTCAATTATTCAATTTAATAAAGATGAACATATTCTGTTGACAGTAGACAGGAATTTGTTAGTTAATTTTTTGGAACAGAAAATGAAACAAAATGATTAAATGTGTGTTTGTTTGTATATAAAAATATGTGTTTATGATGTCTTTTTATGTAAGAAAAATTTTTTCTTAATTTATTTATAAATTCTTTGATTATTTCAATTTATTAGTAAAAATAAAGTTTTTTTAATTTGGAATTTTTTAGGTTAAAATACGTAAGAATTTAAAGGTATCAATTCCTTCAATTTTCAATTTCTTCATTCTTTGAATTTTTTTAAATAAAAAATAATTTGGATTTATTTCAATTAAAAAACTATTTTTAACATTTTGATACTCTGACGTTTTGCAACGTTTTTATAAATTATTTAAAACATTCCTTTTTCTTCTCACGAATCCCCATCGATTTTCCCCGGGGAGGGAAAAAATGCAGTGTGTGGGAAATACTATTGCACAAACATAATCAATGAGAGGAGGTTTTTGGGTGCCTATTTGTTATTTTCATTAAAAGAAAATAGAAATTACTAAAAGAAAACTTTCCTAATGTTATTTACAAAAATTATGAAATTTCGAATTTTGGAATTAATTAATGAAAATTATGATGATATACATCCAGCAACACGTTCTGTAGAGGCAAATAAACGTGTAACGGCTGCTTGGGAACGTGTAACTACTGCTATGAATAATGAATTCCCTGACAATATTGTGTCGACTAAACAAATTAAAGAATGCTTTAAATATCTCAAAAAAATTTCTAGAGACCAAACTTCGAAAGTTTGTTATGATGAACAAAATGTGAAAAAAGAAAAGTATGAAGATTTTATAGGAAAAAATAAAATTTAATAAATTTTAGTGATGACACAAGTACAGCCTCTAGCAAATCACCTCCAATAGTTGGTGGAATGCTCGAAAATTTTCTTTGTGGATTACCTGCAGTAATTTCAAGTATTAATGATGACACTTTGGAATTTAATAAAAACCAAAATAATTTTTGTATTACTCCAAACAATTGGTAAATTAAATATTTTAAATTTATTTTTTGTTATATGTATTTTGGGAAATTTTCGAGAAATTGAGAATTAAAAAAATTTTTTTATGAAAAATAAAAAATTCTGTGGACTTTAAATTAAAATTTTTTTATAAATTAATTATTAATTAAAAAATAATCTTTTACTAGCTCAACTACGCAAATTGATTTAAATGAAAATTCAAATCAATCTTCAACTTCTAGAAAACGAGTAAATTAAAATTTTTGTTAAATTTTATGTATATTTTTAGCCAAATAATTTATTAAATTCTGATGCTTTAAAAAAAGCAAAATTAAACGATTCTGAGGAAAATGATAATAATTTATTGGATTTACAAGAATCTTTATTAGAAGCTAAATTAGAATTAACAAAGAAAAAGATTGAAACTTTGGAGAAAATAAATAAATTTTATGAAAATGGACAATTATTTTTTAAAGCGGGAATTAAATTTTTTGAAAATAAATGAAAATTTTAATAATTTGTATGTTAATAAATTTATAAAAAAATATTTTTATAATTTTTTTATAATTGTTTCTTACTTTTAAAATATTTTTAAAAAATAATTAACATTTATTTCTTCCTTTAAATATTTAAATAAATTATGGCTGATGACTCACTTCAACAATTAAATAAACCAAAAGTAGAAATACATCCAGAGGCTGTTGTTGTAGCCAAAGCTATTTTACGTGGTGGAAATATTGTTATTGGGGCTGGAACTGTTATACACCCACAGGTTTGTGAAATTATACGAATTTTGTGTCCGAACTACCTCTCTTCCAAGTTCGAACCTTCGTGGTCTTTCTAGAATAGAAACATCAAATCTTTTCTTAAAAAAGATTTCCAAGATTAAAAACTAAATATTTTAAATTTTTTAGGCACTTATAGATGCTGGTGAAGGCAAAATTATTTTTGGTTCAAATAATATAGTTGAAGAAACTGCAATAATTCAAAATTTGTATTTATATTTTAAATTATTTTTCAAAAAATATTTTAGAGGACCATCTGGAAATTTAATGAAAATTGGTGATGAGAATTTATTTGAAATTGGCTCGGGTTGGTTTTTTATTTTTCTTTTCCTAATCTTATGACTTTTCGAACCTCTTAATGTTACTCCCTCCCTCTCTCCCTTTTCCTTCTCCTAAATTCTTTGGATAAAGGATAGAAGAAAGGGTTGAAGACTGAACAGATTTAAAAGTAACCAAAAATATTTTTATTTTTTACAAACATGAACACAATAATTACAACAACAAACAAACATACTTATTTAGGGAAACAACAATTATAATTAGGTAGAGAGAGAGAAAATGTTTATTATACAAAATATATTTATTTATCTATCAATTATTTATTTATTCCGTTTTTACTTCTTTCCTTTTTAGATTTTTGTTTTCTCCTCCCCTTTTATTCTTTCTATTCAGCATATGGATCGGCGGCATCCTTCTTTCCTTTATCTGCCAATTCCACAGATTCATTCTTTGACATTTGTGATCCCCCCTCAGATTTTACTCCCTTATCTTCTCCATCCTTTTCCTCGTCTTCTTTTTCTTCATCCTTTTCTTCTTTGTCGTCGTCTCCTTCTTCCTTCTTTTCTTTATCCTTCCCTTTTCCATCATCCTTTCCAATTTCTGTTTTCAATCCAATTTCAGGCACAGCTGATGGTGGTGTTGCTGTTCCGTCTTTTTTCGCTTCTCCTCCTTCACCATCTTTCTTCTCTCCTCCTTTTTCTTTATCTTCTTTTCCTTCTTCAGCTTCTTTAGCGTACATCTTCTTGTAGACAAAGAAATATCCAATAACCCCACCAACAACAAGCAAAACAAGTAGAACAACAACGATTAGAATCACTGTTCCTGAGCCACCTTTCTTCTTTTCCGGTGCTTTTGTTGTCGTTATGTTGTTCTTAACATCTTTTGTGGTTATTTGGACGACTGGCTTTGTTGATGGTTGACTTGTCGGTGAAGGTGTAGTTGGTACTATTGGTGGTGGTTCTCCTCCTTTCATTAGCAATGTGTAGTCACTACTGTTCTAAAAATGAAAAAAAAAATATTGGAAAGGTAGATATTTGGAAAAAAAGAATTTAAACTTACAAAAGTAATTTCCAACTCCAATTTGCAGTCCGAATCCTCCTCTGTCTGGCCGATTATCCTTCCACTGCTTTGAGGCAACAAATGAAATACCAGCAAATACTTCATTTCAGATTTTGGATTCTTGCCAGTAATTTCCCAATTGTTTGGCTCATTCTGACATTCTTTCTGATCTTTGACAGTTACAGTGAATGTCAATTCTTCCCCATTTTTCATTATTTCACTGTGTGACGCAGAGAGATTACCAACTACAAATAGATTCAGATTTAAAATACAAATTTTTATAAAAACCTGCTCGGCTGACGTTTGCCAGAACATTATTTTCATCCCTCCACCAAACAATCTCAGACTGTTTGCATCTCGTGTCTGTACAATCACCATCACCACCACATTTCGTCTGGTTCTTGTGTTTACCCGTTTCTAAGGTATCAAATTCGGCCTGAGTCAAACGGTACATGAACGGCAAACTAAAAAAAGAAAATATTAAAATATATTTTTAGACTTTAACAGCTCTTACTTGTTGATGATAGCCGAACTGTTATATGCCTTCAAGCAGCTATAAAGTTCGTCCGTACTCCCTTTCAGTCCCGCAACAAAGCTAAAGACTTCCTCTTGATTGGTGAGCAGATCTACAGTGCAACGCTTGTCCTTCTCATAGGAAAGAGCGCTAAAATTATAGAGAAATGGCTTAGGAAATTAAGAAAAAAAATATTTTAAACTCACATATTCCCTTGACCGTCAAAGTTGAGATTGCAAGCTTTATCTCCAAACGATGCTCTGTAGGCCTCGAGGGAGTTATAGTCGGCTACTTTGGAATGTTCATAGAGCTCAACTTTGCCATCCTCCTTCAGAATATATTCTCCAAGTCCGACTGTGCCCGATTTTGCACTAACATTGCCAAAATATACGAGAAGCTGGAACAAGGCGAAGACGACAGCCGCCATAGAAGAAATTTGACGCATCTACCTTTTGTTTTGAAGCTACGGAGTGAAGTGGAATTGTTGTTGTTGATAGTTTTGAAGATTAAAGAGAGAATCTAATGACTTTTATAGTAGAGAAATATTGTTGGAATTTTTGTAAATCTAACATTTTTTGTGAGATTTCTATTTTACAGACTAGTAAAATCTTAACTTATTTTAAAAATATTATTTGTCTTAAACTTTCACACACATACTTAACCCAATCCTTATGGGTTATGCAATAGAGTTTCACCGGAAGTTCCGGCGTTTTTTTGGTTCCGGTTCCGGGCAGGAACCAAAAAAGTTCCAGTCAAAATTTCGGTTCCGGTGAAACACTATTAGACAACCCCCTAAATCCTCATTCGCTAATATATGTAGTTTAGCAAAATTTCTTTAAAATAAGTTTTAATTTAAAGTTTGTTATGCACAAGAAATTGGTAACAATAATGTTTTTGGCATTCAAAGTAAAATCGGACCGGATATTAAAGTATTTTTAAATTTAATTTTAAAATTTTAATAACTCAATTAAAGATAACAAATAATTGTCGAATAGGCCCTCGTTGTGAATTAATGACAAATGAGGAATTAAGAGAAAATACTTGTCTTTGCTTTGAATTTGGACAGAGAAAAAATGCTGAACAATCAACAAATGTTTTTTTGTTTAAAAATATTTTTAAAAATTAATTTTAGAGTTTAAAAACCCAGGCAGAATTTTTAAAGAAATTATTACCAAAATATTCGGAAATATTAAAGAATAAAGAAACTGGATAGAAAAGTTTAAATTATTTATTTTTCAGTCTTAATTGTATTTAAAACAGTTTTATTTCGTTTCTGTCCAAATAAATTTATATTTAACAAAATTTTGTATCTCCATCAAATACGTATCCTAACAATAAGGACGTATCCTATATATAAATAACAGTCACCCTAATCTCTCCATTTATTTCCAAATCTTTTATAATAAAAACAAAAATTTTTATATAAACCTCAACAAATATTTTTAAAAACAATTTTAGTCATCAATTTCCATATTTTCACTCTTTGACCGTTTTCTTTTAAGAGCTTTAACCTTTCTTGTTTGTATTTCATCCAATCGTTGTCTGCCTGTATGTACTTTTGCCATTTTATTTCCAAAAGCATCGAATTTTGTATTTTTGTCTTTTGGCTTCTTTAAAAAATAAAATTTTTTTATAAAGTATGAGGGAGTAGAGTAATTTTTGAGTTGCCCAATTAATGTCAGATTTTTCTGTTTCCTCACCAATTTACTTTTTAAAATAGTTTTTAATTAAAAAAACAAACATTAGATTCTTGTTTTGGCTTTTTAAGAGCAGTAGAGAAAAGATCATCACTAGCCAATTTACTTCTATCCAATTTAAAATCAATTTGAGGCCCCAATTCAATTAATTCCACTTTTGGATTTTCAGAGTTTGGTGATCGTTTTAGTAATGTTCTTTAAAAAAATTAATTTTTAAAAATTTTCTAAAATTTAATTAACAAACTTGTAAAAACGTAAAAGAATTTTCTTTTCATCCAAAGCAGTCAAAGAAATAATTAATTCAAGCCCTTGAAGCCTAACAGTTTCTACAACAGGACCGCGAAACCAATCTACCATTAAATTACCAAAACGTTGAAGTGTCGGGTCTGATTCAAATAAAGAACCTTGTAAAATAATACAAGGTTTTGTGCCTGCTGCAACGCCTCCAGCCTTAAATTTTTAAATAAAATGGAATTAAAGAGGTTAATTGCCAATGGTTTACTTTTGTAAATCCAAAATATTTAAATTTTATTCTAGATTTTCTCTTTCTTCCAAATTTCTATAACCTTTTTTATTTGTTTTTAAATTAAAACCTTAAATTCCTCTGAAGAAACAAATTTTTCTATTTGTAATTCAATCATATCAAGCATTTGATGATCAAAAAACCGGCCAAATGTCAATGTATTTGGACGTTTTTTCTAAAATATTTTTACAATTAAATATTTATCATGAATGTTTAATGGCCATTTTAAAATTTTAGGACGTAAAAATAAAACAAAAAACTGTCTGTGTTAGATACAAAAACAATTTGGCTACTAATATTAAAAAAATTTACTCACCGAACTTGACCCAAAAACAAAAAGAGAACTGTCAAATTTTTTAGAGAAATTACAAAGCAAAGAATCATCATCAAATGGATGGATTTCTCTTTTCCTTTAAGATTTATTTTTTAAAATAAATTTATTAAAAAATTAACCTCATTAATTTTGTGGCTAAAGGTTTCTTTAATAAATACAATTCATTTAATACTTTCCCAACAATTTCTGACATTTTATTTCCTCTCATTATTATTGCTGTTTTGTCATTTTCTATTAATTTTGGCGCTCTATCTTCAAGAAAATTTTTTCCACGGCGAGTTTTTGTTTTCTCAACTCTCATTTTCTGAAAATTCTTTTAAAAAAATTAATGAGAAAATTCTTTACAGAATAATTTCTTAAAGTGTTTAAAATTGAAATATATAAGCTAATAGAACTTTTTGTTAGCTAAAATAAATTTAAATTGAAAACGATGAGATTTATTAAATTAAAAATATAAATTTAAGTGAAACAAAATAGGTAGTAAGTACACTTATTTTAAAAAAATTCACAATTCATCAGGATTGTTCATTTTGGCTTCATAAACAGAAGAGGCAGGCCCGGGAATTTTTCTACCTTCAAGTTGAATTTCTCTGCATTCGGATTGTCTGATAAGAAAATCACGAGCATCCCAAGCTTGCTGCCCTTCTGAAATTATTTAATTAAAAATATTTATTTTAAGTCAATAAACCTTTAAAAAGAAATAAAATTCTATCATCATCCACAACATAATTCTAATTTGTAAAAAAACATTTTTATAATTTGTAAATCAAAAACCTGTGCATCAATATGATTATTAAAAAAAGATTGTTGCCATTGCGCAGATATTTTCTCAGTTAATTCTTTTGTTGATTTTGAATTATCAACAGGATTTGCAACAGAAACAAACATCATAACAGATTGTCCCTTCTTTGTCATTTTAAGTAAATCATCTGGGGAATTAGCCTTTTTAATTATTTTAGGAAATTTTTAAATAAAAAATACATTTTCTCGTAATAAATTTAAATCAACAGGAGGAACTGTTTTTGGTTTATTTTCTTGTTCATCATCGTCTTCTGAATCATTTTCTGACCATTGTTCGTAGAGTTTATCCAATTCTGCTTCTGTATAATCTCGAACATCTTTTTTAGTTAATGATAATTGTAAAACTAATAAAATAATCAAAATAATTAATAAAAATATAGACAATTTTGAATCTGCTCTATTAAAAAGAAATGACATTATCTAAAAGATTTAGAAAATATGTAATTTAAAGAAACCCCAAAAAATTACCTAAAAAACTGACAAATGTTTATTGAACCAAATGTTTTTGGCTAAATATTAATTAACAAAATGTAATGATAGCCTTATGTTTTAATTCGAAATATTTACTTAAGAATTTTTCGTTTTGATAAATTTCAATTTGGTAACTTCATAATCTTAACTCTCATTTAAATCGCCAGTTAACCAGTTCATCGAAAAGCAGTATTTGCTTTGGATTTGAATTTTTCCTTTGTTTATTTTTAATTTTCAGATTTCTTAATTGATTTAATTTTGTTGGATCAATGCAGAGTGGACGAAGAAAAGCTTTATTATCTCTCGTAATTTTTTGCAAGTTTCTCTTAAATGTATCTTTTTCAGCTTAACATTATTACTGAAGATCTACAAATTGAAGAGTTGACATCGATTGCTGACGCCAAAATTTTAATTCCGATTCTTATTAAATTCAAGTTTATTTTTTTTTATTTTTATTTAAACTTTTCATTTAAGCAATTCTGGTGATCTTCGTTTCATTGCTAATGATGTTGATTTTCGTAGCGCTGTAGACTTTATCAGGGATGAGATGGGCGATAGCTTTGTTGAATGTCTTGAGCCTGATTTGGCTGATAAAGGTGATCAACATGCAATAGAATGTTTTTTGTTGGCTTTGATTTACGTTCTTCGGATAAAACATGATGAAAAGTTTTTGGGGCTTTGTACGCGACTTGATGAAAATGATAATGTACAAATTGCTTGGATGGTTATTTTTATTTACTATTTCTACTTAACTTTTTTTTTAATTTTAGATAGAAAAATTGGATAGCTTTGGACATTTCTCTGTCATTCCTTTTCACGAACTTTTGCCTTCACTTAATGACAAAGAGAACACAAATCCAACTAGTTTCAGCACTCCTTTGCGAACGGTTAGTGATGTAAACGTTTCACGATCTTGGAAAACTCTTCCTTGTGAACGACGACGCCCTTGCCTTTTAAATTTTGAAGAATCTCCTGTCAACAAAGTTCTCGGTTCTCCACGTGGAGAGGATGTTTCTCGTATTTATGCTCTCAGACAAGAGGTAAAACGGTTAAAAGAATTTGCAATCTCTCTTGGAAGAGAAAAGGATCAACTTGATGATTTATATAGTTTGCAAAGCAAGGAACTTAATGAGATTAAAGGAGAAAATGAATGGTTTTTATATATCAAGTTTTTTTTAATTTAATTTCTATTTCAGTCTCCAAGGTTGCATTTCACGTCTCTTACCACAGTCTGAACGTGTTGCCTTTCTAGAGGATAGAGTATTGCAGTTAGATTCTGAAAATGCTCAATTTTCGAAAAGTTTAATAGCTGAGAAGAACAGAAATGCCAAAAACGAGGCAACTATTGGTGAAATTATATTCCAACGGGATGAGGCTCTTCAAAAAGTTGATTTGTTGATTGATCAATTGAAACACTTACAAAATGAATACGAGAAAGCTTTGAGAAGGGGAAATGATGAATTACAGATGCATGAACAATCACGAAAGGTTGTTTTTTATTTTTGACAACCTCTACAAATATTGAATAAATACACTTGAGCTTGTAAATGGATCCGCATCAATTAATTTTAACACTAAAATTAATGTACAATTTGATCATATTTTATATTATTTTAAAGTTACTTCTTGCTTCCGAGAAGAAATGGAGTAGTGAATTTTCAGCTTTGCAGGCTAAGCTCTCTGAAGCTTATTCATCACTGGAACAAGACCGTAAATTTAAATTGGAGAATGCTGAGTTGAAGGTATTTGCATATTCTGTATTTATCAAAAATTTATAATTTTAGGAGTATGAGCGTGATGAGCACATTTTTTTCCTTAATCAAAGCCTAGAAAAGGAGGAGGAGGCTAAAAGGCAATTGGAAGTTACTTTAGGTGAAAAGAACGAAAAAATTTTACATCTGAATGATTTGGCTGGAAAAAGAGCAAAGCAAGTTGCAGAATTGCAAACATATCATGATTTGTATATTAAATTGAAGCGGGAAGTTTCTGAATATAAACGGGTAAGGCTTTAACCTAAAAATTATTTATTTTCTCAAACTAAAATTGGTGTTCAAAAGCACTTTATGGGCTTTTTTTAATAAATAAATAATTTTAGGCTTCTGAAGCTTGTCTTTTTGACATAAGTAATTATGGAGAATTTACTAATTATGACAAGCCACATAAAATTGAATGTTTAATGCGTGAACAAACTTTTCTTTTCAATCAAAAAAATGAAGCAAATTCTACTGATGAAAATTTTCAATCAAAAAAAATATTTCTTGATATTTGAAGTGCATTTTAAATTATTACAATTAATTAATTTAATTTCCCAGACTGCCAATAAATTAATTTCGGAAAATGCCCAGCTCGCATTTATTTTTGCAAGGCCATCCGCAAACGGCATTTTTTTTTATCTTTTTCCCTTAATTTCCCTCAAGTTACCAAATGATTGGTTTTCAGCCTGCTGGGCATTTACCTTTTAATCTCAATAATTTAAATGTATACTCAATAAATTTTTATTTTTTAATGCTTATATATTCTAGTTTTTGATTAGTTTAGCTCTTGACTATATGTTTTTTTTGACGAAAATTTTAATAAATTTAAAAAATTATCAGTATACTATGCAGAATTCTTCAGCTACTGGTAATGATTTCATTGTTGACGATTGTTTTGCTGATGATGATTTGGTAACTTCTGACGCTGACATAAACAGCTAAACTTTTTTTTATTTTAAAAGTATTTCGAAAGACTATAACTGGATTACTGTTTGGGGCTAAAGTTAAATTTTTGTTTTAAATGAGATTCTGTTAGTGTATGAGAAAAATTGCAAGAGATAAAGAAATATTGGATTATGGAATTTACACAAAATTCTTATTTTTAAATTTATGCCTCGGGAACGATATATTTTAATATTTTTTAGCTGTTGCAACAGAATTCAAACAGCAATTATTTGCTCAACAAAAATCTTTTCTTGAGCGAGATAATTTTGAAAATGAATTGGGTCCAAGTGGAGTCAATGAGGATCCTTTTGGAGAAAATTTTACCGACATGGCGAGTAATGAAATAATTGATGTTTTTGGTGAAGGAGATTTTTCTGCTAGGTTTTTGTTAAAATTAAAAATGTTTTTAACTAATTTTAGACCGGTTGTTGTATTTTATGCATATAGACTTCCGTCCAATAAAACATTTGATCATTTGAAGTTTTTAAGGTTTTTTGATTTTTTCTTTCGAAATTTTTGTTTTTTCTCTTTTTTTTAGATTTGTTCAGTTTACTTTAGACAAAATTGTCGACCAGGACTACACAGTTATTTATTTTCATTATGGTTTACGTTCTAATAATAAGCCACCATATAAATGGTTATTTAATGTTTATCAACTTTTGGATCGGAGGTTTAAACAAACATCTTTTAATCAAAATAATTTATTTTTTCAGATACAAGAAAAATCTCAAAGCTCTCTATTTGGTTCATCCAACAAAATTTTTTCGTATCGTTTGGCGTATATTTCAACCAATAATTTCATTTAAATTTGAAAAGAAATTACATTATGTAAATTCTTTAAATGAATTGACTGATTTTGTTTCTACAACAAATTTAAATCTCCCACAGCCGATTATTGAGTATTTTTTGAATTCTTTTTGAATTCTTTCTTTTTAATTTAGTTTTGATCTTTCAATTTCTTCGTCATCTCCAAAATCTTCTGTTATTTCTAGTTTTGAGAATAATGTGGAGAAGCAACCACCTAGACCAACACAACAATTTAATGTGTCTTTGAAATTGTAAGTATTTTCTTAAATTTTTAGTTATTTTTATTCCAAGAATTCAGTTTAGAAATTTATTTTCTATTCAGAATCTAAAATTAAATACTTTTGAATTAAAACCTTCAGTCATTTCTAAATGCTTAGAAATGTTAAAGCTGGTTATAATTTGTTGAAATTTACCCGTCTCCAAATTTTGATTGCCAAGTTCACTCACATCAATATTTTACTTTAAAAAATCTATTTAAAATTATTAATTTTATAGTATTATGGACCATAATCCAAATTGTGATATTCCTCCAATCGCGTCTGATTTGATGGACTTTTTACTTGAACACGGACTTCAAACTAAAGGGATCTTTCGTCGTTCAGCTAATGTTACAACACTTAAAGCACTACAACAAAGAGTTAATTTAGGTAAAAATGTTGAAAATAGGATATACCTATTTGACGAATTTTAATTTTTTAGGAGAAAAGATTGATTTTCTTCGAGATCCAGAATTTAATGGTGATTTGGAGAATAGTATTTTATTGGCATCTGTTCTTTTAAAAACTTTTCTTCGTTCTCTTGGAGAGCCGCTGATTACAAATAAATTATATCCCGAATTGACTCTTCTTGCTGGTTTGAATATTTTCTTCATAAAATTATTTTTGAAAAAAGTTAGATAATTATTTTCTATGACGCTATTATCCCCATAATCAAAATTTCCATTAATTTTCTGTAATATTTTAACAACTAAAAAATTAGTAATATTTTATTTCTAAATTTTAAAATTACTTTAGCTGCCATCGAAAAACCTGCATATATTGATGCTACACGTGATTTACTTCAACGATTGCCGCCCGAAAATCTTTTACTACTTCAACGCATAATAGAATTTTTAAAACAAATTGAGGCGCATTCTGAAGAGAATTTGATGAATGCAAATAATTTAAGTGTTGTTTTTGGACCAAATTTGACTTGGCCAACAGATCAACAAGTGAAGGATTTTTGATTTATAAAAAATTATTTTTAAATATTTTTTAGGTTCCAATGTCTCAATTGAACAATTTGAATAAATTTTGCTACACGTTAATTAAGCATTTTGATTTAATATTTGCAGACAATTAACATTAATTGATACTAGTACTTAATTCATCGGCACGCATTTTAGCTATATAAGTATCTAGGGGAATTACTCTTACACTACCAATAAGTGACGGTAAATTATTATTGTTAGATGCATGTTAAAAATAATTTAAAAAGATTACCTTAAATGTGTAATTAAATGAAAGCTCATAAATAGATCTATTTAAGGCCAAATTAAAAATATTAAATTATAAATGAACTACTTAAAAACCGAAATTCAACAATCTATTTGCGTGCCAATAATACATAAGTTATACTATATTTTATATTCACATAATACTTATGTATATGAATAAATTTCAATAATTTGTAAAAATTTTTGTAATTAGAATTAGTAGTTGTCAAAGCTCAAGTTTTGCCATTCAATTATTATTTTTTTATATTTTCTTTGTTCAAATTATTTACTGTCAATTTTCATGCCAAGGGAATTATGGGATTAACTAAAGATTTCTTAAAATTTCAACAATCGGGCTCTTTTAATTTACTCGCCTCTCCAAATGGAATGGTTCAATTTGTTGATAGTGTTACTTGTGCTGTTGCTGCGGCTGAAAACGTTTCTTTTTACAATATGCGAACATTGGCAAAGGTTTTTGAAAATTTTACATGTAGAAATAAATTTCGATTTTAAGACAAAACAAATGCGTTTTGAAGGAAGAATCGTTACTTCTTTTGCATTGACGAAGGATAAATCGAAAATTGCTATTGGGTATGATAATGGTTCTATACATTTACATAGAATTGAGGATGAAAGTATAAATTTTTGTTTTATTTTTTTTTAAATTTATTTTTAAGGTCCCCCGATTGTTTTTAATGGACACAAAACAGGAGTAAATTGTTTGACTTTTAGTGACGATGGTTTTATATTGGCTAGTGGAGGAAAGGTTTTGATAAAGGGTATTTTTAAATATGCTTAAAAATTGCTAGGATTCGGTTATTGCGCTCTGGGATGTGTTGAATGAATCTGGTATTTGCAGTTTATTTGGCCACAAAGGAACAATAACTCACCTGCGTTTTGTACAGAATGGATTATATCTTGTTTCGAGGTTTTAATTATAAAATTTTTTTAATTAAAATTAAATTTAAAATTTTTTAGCTCTAAAGATACTCAGATTCGCTTTTGGAGTATTTTAAACTACTGTTGTTTTTATTTACTTGCTGAAAGTCAATCAGAAATATATTCATTTGCTCTTTTAAATAAGGAGAATTTATTAGTTGTTGCAAATTCTGAAATTGAATTACTTGTATTTGAACTTAAATGGAATAAAAAAATTAAAGAAGAGAATGATGACGAGGAAATATTAGATGATTTGAATGTAAAGAGAATATGTTCAGAAGATGTTAATGATAATGAATTAATAAAAGAGGATCAAGCAAATGTAAGTACATTTTTTTATTTCAAGTATTTCTATTTGTAAATAAGTTTTCTATCTTTTTGCCAAAAATATTTGGTTTTAAATTGTGTTGATTTCATAAATTATTTTTTAATTTCAGAAAGTTTTACAGTGCAAAAAACGCGGTTCACTCTTACGACAGGCCAAAGGTCGCGCACTTCAATTAAGTGTTTCTAGTGATGAGTCTATTTTATGTTGTGTAGGTGCTGATTCTTTGGTTGATATTTACAGGTTTTTTTGTTTGTTTAATTATTTTAAAAATATTTTAAGAAATTTTACGGAAGAGGAAAGTAATAAACGATTTAGAAGAAAATTAAGAAAACTCCGCCAACGATTGGAAATGCAAGAAAATGAGTATGTTTTAAAATAAATAATTGATTAAATTTTAATTTAATAGAGAAAATAATAACGATTTATCTACTCAAATGTTAAAATTGGAAAGTGAAGTGCGCAAAGATATTACAACAATTATTGCTAGGATAGGTGATTACAGAGCTGATTCAAAAGTTAAATGGGTTGATCTGTGTGATTCTTTTACTTTTTTGCCTAATGGACGAACAAGAGAATATAGAGTAACAAACAAAAATTTTATTTAATTTTTAAATTATTTTTTAAAGTTTTATTGTCTACTTAAATCTAATAATATTTTGGGTGTTTCTATTCGTGTTGATTGGAAAAACAGTGCTACCGAGTCTTTTCTTCTAACTAGTTTGGGACAGGTTAATTGTTTAAAAAATAATTATCTAAATTACTTTTTTAGCGTGTTCATAGAACGGATATTCGTGCTCTTGCAATTTCTTCGAAATCTGATATAATTGTAACTGGTTCAAATGAATCTGCAATAGTTTGGGATTTACAAGAATTGGTATCTTTAAATAAATTGGTTGCTGATGGTCTTCAACAGATTTCTGCTGCTCTGCTTTTTGCTAATGATACACAATTAATTTTGGGAACTAGAGTAAGAAAATTAATAAAAAAAATTTTTTAAAGTAATTTTAGACGGGATCGTTGTTCTTATTTAATCTAAAAACTTGTGAATTAATTGAAAAGAGTGAGTCTGTTCACGATTCTATTACTGGGCTTTGTGCATTTCCAAATAAAGTTTCTTTGAATTAATTTTAAAATATTTTTTTTTAATTTTAGGATGGATTTGTTTCTTTTGGTCAGGATAAGAAAGCAAGATTTTGGTGTTTTGAAAGAGCTAAAGATTCTTCTGAACGGTAACACCCAATATTATTTTGAATTTTACCTTTTTTATTAATTATTTTAATTTTCAGTGATTATTTATCAATTCGATCCAAGCGTGTACTAGAACTTCAAGATGAACCTTTATGTGCTGCAATTTCCCCAAACGGCAAATTTATTGCATTTGGCCTTTTAGACAATACTTCAAGAGTTTTCTTTATGGATAGCCTTAAATATTTTGTATCGTTATATGGACATTCATTACCCATTTATTGTATTGATATTTCACATGTAATTTTTTAAAGATTTAATTATTATTTAAATTAGATTTATTTTTTATTTAAGGATAGCAAATTAATAATTACTGGTTCTGGAGATAAATCTGTACGAATATGGGGACTTGATTTTGGAGATTGTCATCGTTCTTTGTTTGCCCATGATGGAAAGTATGTGTTTTGGATAATTTTCATTATTTTCTGTTTTTAGCGTGACTTGTGTTCAATTTTGTATTAATATGGCTGATGATGAAAAATTATTTTGGTCTGCTGGAAGTGATGGAAAATTGAAGGTTTTTTATTTTAAAAATTAAAAATAAATAAGTTAAGCAATGGGATGCTGTAACTTTTAATCATATTCAAACTTTAAATGCTCATACTGATCAAATTGATGCAATTGCTCAAAATTTTGATAGCAAAATATTGGTAAATTATTTTTATTTGAATTAATTAAAAATTTTTTAAAAGATTTCTGCTTCAAGAGATAAATCTGTACGTGTTTGGGAGTTGACTGATGAATTAATTGTCTTGCAGGAAGAAGAGGAAAGGAAAAGAGAAGAAGATTATGAGAAGAAAATGATAGAAGAGGAAGATATTGTTTGTTTTTCTTTAATAGAAAAATAATTTGTTTTGTTTTTCAGGTCCCTGGTGAAACAAAAAATTCAGAAAGTGGTCTGGCTACATTAAAAAGTATGGAAACAATTAAATCGGTGATTTTATATTTTATTTCCTTTAAATTTTGTTTTAGACTGAAAATATAATGGAAGCAATTGAAATTGTCCGTAGGGAGAGAATTGAACACGAAAATGATAACGAGGTATTTTAATGAATTATAAATATGGAAATGCTTTAAATTTAGCACATTCCTCATATTTTGTTGAGGGCATATCCAAATGGTGCTTTTCATTTATTTATTGGCGATACTTTAGAGAAAATACAAAGAAGGTATTTTTTAATTTAAATTAATTATTAATTAAATTTAAAGTTCACTCGAAAAATGTTTGTTGTCATTACCCTTCTCTTATGTACCTGAATTACTAACAGAATTGTGTAAATGTATTAAACAATTTTACAAAACGGAGTTGATGGAAAGAATTATTTTTTATTTATTAAGGTTTTTGAAATTTAAATAGAAATTTAATTTATTTTTAAAAAAGAATACATCACAATCAAATTGTCCATTCAATTGAATTACTTCCAATTATTGATGAATTAAAGACGGTTGTCCCAACAATTATTGAATTTTCTGCTGTAAGAGGATTTTTAAAAGAAATTTTTTAAATTAATTTTTAGAATCAAATTGGTTTCAACATTGCTGCATTAAAATTTTTGCAAATGAGTTTGGAAGATAAACAAAAAGAAAAATTATTTAAACAAGCCTTTAATTCAACAGAAAGTTTGGGTAGAAGAAAGAAAATAAAAAATAAAGAGAAAAAATAAATTTAAGAAAATATATTTTTGTTTTTTTTGTTGTTAAATTTTATTTTGAAAATAAAAATTGTTTTTATATAAAATAATTTTAAATAAATTTTTAGAAAAATATTTTGGGGACTTTTTCTGTTTAATTACAAAAAAAAAGAATTTTTTACAAATTTTAATTTTTTCTCTCTCTCCAGATTTCTTCCTCACATTTTTAAAATGAAAATTTTAAAAAATAAAAATTAAATATTTTGTTTTTGTTAATATTTTCTCTTTTATTGAAACCACATAAAACGGTCAGGAATGTAATAAATTGGTGCCTCAATAAAATCAACATCAGCACTGGATGACGAAAAACGAGGAGAGGAGGAAGGAGAGGAACGTTTTCCAAATCTGAAATTAAAAAATTCTTTTAAAAATTAATTTCCTTTTCTTTTTTTACCTCATTCTACTCCCTTTTGCTCTAAATTCAGTTAATAAATCATCCAAATCACCCCCATTCCCATCTCGCCGTACCATTGGAAGGCCGTTTGGATGTGGTTTTGAATTAATTGTGTTGATTAGTAAAATTAGGGAAAATAGGAGAAATGCCAAAGAAAGCCTCATTTTTATTTAATTTTTTTAAAAAATATTTTCCTTAAAAAATATTGAAAGAAATTTTCTTGAAAGTAGTCTATAATTTAATTTAAAATATTAAAATCTGAAAAAAAGTTGGAAAGACAAAAACTTCTTTTTGACCTTAAGTATTTCCATTAAAATAATTTATTTTATTAAAAAAAAAGAAATCTTTTTTTTTCTTAAAATTTGTGGGAAAAAGTTTTACACAAGTTATTAATAATTTAAAAGAAAATATGTAAAAGTATTATTCTTTTTAATTAACAAAAATACATTAAGTAAATTAAAATTAAAAATAATAATTTTTATTATAAAAATTTAAAAAAAAAGTCTGCAAAAAATATTTTGTGAATATTTTTTATTTAAAATTTAAAAGAAAAACCTTTAAATAAATACAAAAAAAAAGTATCTTTTTTTAAAAGAAAATTTTCTTATAAACAAAAAAAAGTTTTGTGACTTAACAAAAAAATTGTTTATTTGTTAAGACTTTTTTTACGTTAAAAAAGAGACTTTTGGGTGGGGGTTAATCCAGGAAATTTAATTTTTTTATTTTTTTTTTATTTATTACGCACAAAATATTTTTAGAATTTTATTTTTTAAAATATTCAAAAATATGACGAAAACTTTATTTTTAGAAAATTTATTTGCATTTTTTGTTTCTTTTTAAATTTAATTTAATTTTGGAAAAATAAATGTCACGAAATTTAAAAAAAAAGATGAAAAAAATGTTTATAAATTAAAAGTTAATTTTCTTAAATATTTGGAAGAGAAATTATTTTGGGGAAATAATATTTTTTTTAAATTTATGGAGAAAAGGTTAAAATTTTTAATTAAAATTGTTTTTGGAAAAAATTAAATATTTGTACATAGTTAAAAAAGACAAAAAGGTTATATTTTTAAAAATTAAAAGGAAATATTTAAATTTACAGAAAATTCAAATCATTACAAGCACTGCACTTCTAAAAAGAAAATAAATATTAAAATTTAAGAAAAAAATTTTAATTTTTAAATTTGTCTAAATTTTAGAGAATTGAATAATTTGCTTTCTTTTTATAAATATTTAAATTTTAAAAAGAATTTTACAAATTATTTTTAATAATTATTAAATAATTTTAAATCAATAAAAGAAAATTAAAGATTATTTTAATTTAAAAAAGACTTGTAAATCTTTAAAAACTAATTAAAAATATTTAAAGATTTTAAAAAAATAATTGGCTATATTTTTTAAAAGATTATATTTAAATTTTAATAGTGTAAATATAAATTAATGCACTAATTTCTTCTTCATTTTTTACATTATTTATGTGCAGTTTTAATTGAAGGAAATAAAAAGAAATTTTATTTAAATATTTTTCAAATAAAAATTATTAAAAAATAATTTTTATTTTTTAAATTAAAAAAAAATTGGCAACAAATTTAAAAGCCCCAAAAAAGTATTTATATTTAAATAAAAAGTAATCAAATATAAAAATGTCAAGAAGAAGGAAATAAAATAAATTTGTTTTTTTGAAGAGGATATTAAACAAATAAAGAAAATTTGTTTTTAAAAAAAGTAATTTATTCTCAAAAACTTTCTTTTAAAGTTGGAATATTTTTAGAAAATAATTTTGAGTAGAAGGAAAAAGGGAGAGAATTAAAATGAGGAATTATAAGCAAAAAGAGTTAATTAAGGGAAGTATGTACTTGATCCATAAAATATGCCTCTTAAACCAAATAATTTTATTCAGTTTCCGGAATTAATGCTACATAGTTTAGCATATTAAAATGTCAATTTTGTAATGAAAATGTGAAAATAAAATTTTTATTTAAAAATATTTGGTACCACAATATCCCTTCTAAACTGTTTATCAGTCCAGTTTTGTTATCGCATGTTTCTTGAGTGATAACTATTTTTATCCGATTTTGTCTCTAATTTTGTAGCCTAAAATCTTAGCTTCATAATCATACTAAAATTTTAAAAATAGAAAAGATAAAAATTTTTTATTCCTTCTGATATGAGCATGGGTAGAGGTATCTTGGGGTTTTTGTTTTGTGGGGCATTTTGTGGATACTATAGTACATTTTCAGCTACTAAATTATAACCAACAGAATCTTCGATGGGAAAACTGTTTTTGGGTGTTCCGGAGGGTAGTCCGGATATGGTTTAGCTACACTGTGACTTTTTTCAAGTTTATATTAATGTTTGTTTATCAAGTTTACTAAAAAAATGTCAAAGTTTACAAAAACTTTTGGCACTATCTGAAAGGAGGTGCGGGATCATATTTTTTCCGCCTTCCTTAAACAACCTTTCATTTTTCCTTAATATGAAAAAATGGTCAGTATTTTCCACGCTCTTAATTTTCCCTGTGGCATATTCAAATGAGAGACATTAATAAGGAAAGGATTAATTTTTTCTCATTGCTATTGTGAGGACGGAACATACAGGAGATGGAACGACAAAAATGTCGGACATGTCACCGTCTTACCAGATCACAGACCAGATCTTCGGTCAGTTTTTGGGCATTCCGTGTTATGGTCGCTCTGTTATTTGGTTGTTCCTTGATTTGGTAAGACGGTGTTTTGTCTGTTCCGAGTTTTGGTATGATCCGTGTCTTGTCTGTTCCGTAAGTTAGCCTGACATGATTCAAAAATCATAAATGATGACCATTTTCATTTGACTATGCCACAAGGAATTTTAGTAAAATAAGGAAGGAAGAAAGACTGACCATTTTTCCATATTAAGGAAAGATGAAAGGTTGTGTAAGGAAGAAGGAAAAAATATGATGCCGCACCTCCTTTCAGATAGAGCCAAACTTTTTATCAGTTATTAACTTATTGTGACGAATTGAGGGTTTTGCACAGTGGGTCGAATTGTGGGGAGGGCTGAATCGAGGGTTTTTGATCAGTGGGCCGATTCCAGGGTGGGTCGAATTGTGGGCGTGTCGCAATCTTCTTAAAGTTTGCGCCGTTTTGAGCTTGCGCCGTTTCGGTCGCGCCGTTTTGGCCTGCGCCGTTTTGTACTTTACTCACAATCTTACATTTGTTTTTGTTGTTTATTTAGTTTACAATTGTGGTTTGTTTTTGATTAATTTCTTCTTATTTTGTTTTTACTTTTGTAAACTAAATGTTTCTCTCTTATACACATCTTGCTTATCTGGAAATTAAAACAGGGCTCCGATCGACAAAATGCCACTCAAAAGTATCAAAAGCTCGATTAAAAAGTATATAGGGAGAAAATTTGTAAATAAAAAGTAGTCTCAAAATTAAATTAGAAAATATTTATTCGTCCTCAAATCTTTCATATTTCTCTCCTAAATGTATCTTTTCTAATAATTTCTTGTTTCAATTGAGCATTTTGTCAATTTCAATGCATCTTTTGTGGCGCCGAAGGCGCCACAAAATCTATTTTTTGCGCCGCAGGCGAAAATTTTGAGAATTTTGGAAGTCCTTAAACCAAATTTCTTCCATTTCTTGCGCCGCAGGTGAAAATTTTTTGAAATTTAGAGCCCAAGAAGCTAGATTTTTCCTTTTTCAGCGCCGCAGGCGAAAATTTGAGAATTTCAAAGGCCGTAGGCCAAAAAAATTCACTTTTTTGCCCAATCCCTTCCCCAATTTCATTTTCAATCAAAAAAAAGTATATACTTTCAAAAAAGTATAAATTCTATTTCGTAAGTATGGAGGTCGATTTAAAAGTAGAATACTTTTAAAAAAGTAGGAATCGGAGCCCTGAATTAAAATTAATGGAAAAGTCAAGTTTGTATGACGCATTTTTTCCTATTTCTCCATCTTTTTAGAAAAATGAGGAAGAAGTGCTTCGATAAATTTGAGGTTTGTTTGAAAAGTAATTAAGTGTGCAGAATCCGTATAAGTTCAAATTTATTTATTTAGAATCCCGGATACAAATTCAACCAAGGGGAATTCTGTTTTGAAATTAAAAGCAAAATATTTATTGGTAAAGCCATGAATGTTCGGGTCCACGATTCGAAATAAATAAAATTTAAACTAATTCTCTACTTGATTACCTACTAGAAAAGTCTTTAGATTGAAAAAGCTCTTACTCCCTACTTGTTATAGGGAGATGGAAAAATGAAAAAATGCGTCATACAAATTTAACTTTTACCAAATTAATAACTTTATTAGCGAACTTTTCTGAGATTTTTCTTTTTGAGTTTTATTTGGTAAAGAATATAAAATTACCTTTCTTTCTTTACGAAATAAAAACTGTTTGCTTCTAAAATCTTTAGAATTTTAGCTTTATTTACAAAAATAAATTTATTAATAACAATTATGGGGTTATTTGGAAAAGTTAAGGTTGATCCCAAAGAACAGGTAATTCTCCTTTTTTTTTGAAAATTATTTTAAATTTGAAAGGTCCGCGCCTTGCAAAGAAAACTTCGACTTGAAATTTCGCATTTAAATCGTCAAATTAATGCAATTCAAAGGGAGGAAGAAAAGGTTAAAAGGGAGATCAAAGTAGCAGCCAAAAAGGGCGATAGGGATGTTTGTGTTGTTTTGGCTAAATCAATTGTGCATTCAAAAAAGGTTTTTTTCTTTTTTTGGACAGAACTATAGAAAATTTCAAAGTCTGTTGCCAAACTCCACGCAACTTCAGCTCAGATCAATTCAATTATTATGAATATGCAACACCAATTGGCGACCATCAGAATGGCTGGAACGTTAAAACAGTCGACTGAAGTAATGCGTGCAATGCAGCAATTGGTTAAGGTTTGGGAAATTATTTGAAAATAAAATTTGGGGGGGGGGGGGGGGAGGGGAGGGTTTTGTTTATTTTTCATTTTCTTGTTTAGGTGCCTGAAGTAATGCAAATAATGCGTGAAATGGCCAAAGAAATGACAAAAATGGGTTTAATAGAAGAAATTATTGAAGAGACGATGGAATCTTTTGAACCAGAAAACATGGAAGAATTGGCCCAAGAAGAGGTTGACAAAGTTCTTTGGGAGGTTACTGCTGGGGAATTAGGTAAAGCTCCTGCTGCTGTATCTGATACTCTGGAACAACAGAAAGAAGAAAGAGCTAAAGCTATTGCAACTGCCGATGAATTTATTGCGTCTCAAGCTTCCCATACATAAATAACGAATTACAAAACTTATGTGATTTTTGATTAAAATTTGGGAATTTGAGAAGGGTAAAAACTGAAATTTTTTAGATGTTTATTAAAAAAATATAAATTTTCAAATTTATATTTGCAAATTCCCAAAGTTCTCTCTGGTCTCCTTATAATTATTTTCCAGAGTTGTTTATTTTAATTTCTAGTACATTTATGTATAAAATTTTTGACATTTAATTTTTTAATGTTTATTAACAATTTTATTTTGTTTTATACTTTATTTTATGTTTTTTCGTTAATGGACTGAGGTTTCTGTTAAGAACAGAATTTATTAAAAGTTATTAATTTTCGTTTTCCTTATTATCTCAAATTCTCTTAAACAAAAGTTATTTTTTAGATAAAGTATTAAAATTTTCTTTGAAAAAATGTCTGAAAATCAGCCTACGTTCTTTTATGGTGTTGCTTATGGATATAATCGTGGAGTGTTTTCAACATATAAGGTTTGTATAATTTTGCTTTTGATTGATAAATGGGTTGGTGTGGATTATAGCGTGGTTCTTATGGTTTTGGCGTCTGTGTATATGTTTAAAATATTTTAACAATTAAATTTAGGAAGCTATGGCTGCAATGAAGGGATTTCCACAAGCTGTTTACAAAAAGTTTAAAAATCGCGAGGATGCAGAAGAATTTGTTCAGAAATCTAAACCTGATGCAACTTTATGTAATAATTTTGTTTAATCAATTTAGTAAAGCAGCTGTGCTATAGCTATCTCTCTCCTTTAGCTAGTGCAAAAGGTTATTCGGCGGCTGGGAGCGAACCAGCATCTTCAGTAGACTGGACTGATGTGTTAGCCATTACACCACGCCGCCTACTGCTCAGCCTTAGGAAATTAATAGCTATATGCTTTACAATTTGTTTAAATTTCTTTTTATTTATTTAGTTGATGCTAAGGAGACTGATACTGACGATAAATTCTATGCAGTTGCTCGTGGTCGTGTGATTGGAATATTTAAGGATCTTGAAACTGTCAAGAAGAATGTTAGTTTAGATTTTTTGTAATTAAAATTCGTTAAATTTAATTCTAATTTTTTCAATTTTTACATAAAAATCAGAGTAATTTTTGCTGACATTCTTACTAAAATGTCAGCAAAAAATTCTATTTATTTTAATTTTAATCATTTTTAGACTCACGGATTTCCAAAACCTATGCACAAAAAATTTGCAACTTTTGCTGAAGCAAAAAGTTATTTCGATAAATTTGCTGAAGGAAAAGGTTTTGTAGAATTTTATTCTTATAATTAATAATTTTTAGTTGATGAAACGGCAAAATCTCCTCGTAGGAAGCGAACGCATGCAGAGACAACTGATGGGAATACTGATTGGCCAGCAGTTAGGAATGTTGGTATGTAATTGAAAAAATTTCTAATTATATTTGTTTTGGATAAACTAGACTGATAAGTCTGAAAATTTTAAAAGTTTTTTATTCTATTTTTAAATATTTTAGCACGTAAACGTACATCTGGCAAAGTTGGCGATACTGACGAATCTGAAGGTGGAGAATTAGATCATACACAAATAATGAATGAATCGACTGAAGATGAGGAAGGTGGAGGGGCTGATCAGGAAGAAGAAGAGAAGGAGGGAGAGGAGGCTGTTTCTAATAAAAATATGGACAATAAAGACAAAATTGAAAATGGTGGGGAGGTTGAGGAAAAGAAAGTTGAGGAGGAGGGAGATAAGAGTGAAGTTATTATGGATGAGGGAAAGGTTTTATTGAATTACAATTTTTTAATTAATTTTAATTTAGGGTCAAAAGGATGAAGGAAATCCATCTAACGCTGTCGAAGAGCAACAGAAGCATGCCATAATGGAAGAATAATTTGAAAGGTTATGAAATTTTTAGTTTAAATATTTAATTTTACCAAATATATTCATTGTATCTCCACTTTTATTTAAGGCATTTAGACAGAAAATTCTACTTAATTGAAATTTTGAATGTCCTTGTTTTTCGGTTAAATTTTTTTTATTTTCTCTGTCTACTTGGCTATAATTTTTGCGTATTCAACCGTTAGCACATTTTTATTTAATTTTGGTGCAAATAATTTCGACAAATCATGGAATATTTTTTGGAAAACTGGTTATTTAAATTTTCAAAAAAAATATTAAAAATAAATTTGAAAATATTAATTTTCGTGATTTATAGTATATTTAAAAATTTAAATAACTATTTTCTTTATCATTTGATTACTCATTGCCCCTATTTTCCTCTATTTAATTGTCAATTGCCAAAAAAAGAATAACCGATTCTATGGTCACATATTTTATCACATTTATTTTGTCTAGTGAAAAAAATATTAAATGTTAAAAAATATTTTGTGTTGATTTTATTTTATTGATTTTATTTTACTTGATGATGGAAATATTTGCAATTAATACTTATTGTTAGAATTTCGATTAAAGAATTTTTCTTGCCTACAGTTAAATAACAAATACATATATATGTAGGTATTGACATCTTTTAAACGCTGTTTTAATGGATTCTTCTGATTATTCAAAAAATTATAATCTTTTATTGGAAGAACTGGAAGCTGATGATGTTTTACTTGAAATTCCACAAATTCTTAAGGAAGAAATAATAGAAGAATCAAAAGGATTATCAAAAATAGTTTGTTTTAAATTATTAAAAAGGAATGATTTTTAAGTTTATTTGGATTTGAAATTTTATTTGGGCATATTTAGGCATCTTTTGATGGTATTACATCTAATATGTATTTAAGCGTTCAGAAATCGAGCGAATAATAACATTTATCGATTTAACAACATTAATGGGAGATGATACAAAGTCCCGTGTTGATGATTTGGTTAATTCTGCTATTAATCCAATTAAAGAAGTAAGGATTTAATTATATCTTAAATTTTATTCTCAATATGTTTTAGAACCACAAAATAAAATGTGCTTCTGTTTGTGTATACCCTGCAAGAGTTTTGGATGCCTGCAATGCCGTTAAAGCAAATGGGAACTCGTTAAATATTGCTAGTGGTGAATAAAAATTATGTAGATATAATTGTTTTTTCTATGTTAATTAATCGTTTAATCGGAGTACTTAGTCGATGTTACGACATTTTCGTGGGTAACTAACTCGTTTTTGATTAGGCCAAAAACTCGAAATCCAGTTATATTTTTTTATTTAAATTCTTAAACAATTCAAAGTTGCCGGTGGCTTTCCATCTGGTCAATATCACATTGAAAGTCGACTATTAGAAATTCAATTAGCGATTCGTGATGGAGCAAACGAAATTGATTCAGTCATAAATCGAGCTGCTATTTTAGAGAATAATTGGAAATTATTATTTGAAGAACTTGTTAGGATTAGAGATGCTGCAAAAGGAGTAAAATTAAAAATTATTTTGTCAGTTGGTGAGCTTGGTTCAAACAAAGCAATTTATTTAGCAAGTATGGCAGCAATGTATTCTGGTAATTTTATTAGAATGATTTTTTTTATTAATTTATTTTATTTGAAAAATTTAAAAGTTTGTACTGAAATAACACAAAATGTTAATGGATTAAAATTTTAATACAATTTTAATTTAAAAATTCATTTTTAATTTCTCGATTACATTAAAAACATTTTTTTCATAACATGGAATAAGGAAACATTTTCCATGAACATTTTTAAAATAACATTTTTAATTATTTTTAGGTGCTGACTTTATCAAAACTAGTACTGGCAAGGAAACAATAAATGCAACATTAGAATCAGCATATATAATGTGTTTAGCTATTGCCCAGTTTTACAAAAATACAAATAAAAATGTTGGATTTAAGGTTTAATTTATTAAAAATTTTTATATAAAATTTATTTTAGGCAGCTGGTGGTATTCGTTCAGTTGAACAAGCATTGCAATATATGATTTTATTTGAAAGAATTTTGGGGAAAAACAATTTGGACCCTAAACTTTTTCGAATTGGAGCAAGTATGGGATTGTTAGAAAATATTAGAGAAAAATTGTCAGATGATAAGTTAATTTGAAGTTGTACAAGTTTGTTAAATTATTATTCTCCCAATATTAAATATTTTAATCTAAACAGAAACTAATTTTATTTTCCTATTCTGGTACATTCACTTACTACATATTTATTTCTAATAAAATTATTTTTGCTCTTGAATGAATTTTTATTATGTAGAATTCTTTTTAATATTAATAAATATTTGAATATTTTCTCTATTATTTAATTAAATTATTTTTAGGTTTAAAAAATATTAATGGCAGAAAAAAAGCAACAAATTGCTAGTGCTGGTTTTGAACTTGTTCAAGTTAATATTTTTTAAATATAATAATTTTTTAGAAACTAAATTATAGTCTTTACACGACAATCCGGATGTCTTGCCTCCATACAACAAAAAATTGGTTGACAAATGTGCCAAACAAATTATTGATCTTTATAATGAAAATGTTCGTTCTTTTATGGAGTAAGTTGTGTTTTTTTATTTATGAAAATAAGCAGGGATAGTCTTCCGATAACATTGTTTTGATTAATGGTTAGGTCTATTGCACATTTAACGTTTATTTTTTCTTAAAATATTCTGAACTGCATTATCCGCCCAATTTTGTTTTATTTCCTTTTCCTAAAATTCTAACGGCCAAGTCTCATAATCGTCAGATTCACTCTCAGATTTTCGAATAGATTCAAATTTTAAGAGATTTTTCTTTTTAGGAAGAAGACAAAAATGAAAATGTACACAGATAATGCGATAGTACTATATTTTTTATTACTTTTTAGTTTAAAATCAAAGACAGACGGTTCAAATAAAGAAAATGAAAGTCAAGTTTTTCAACTGGTTCGTATTAGACAAGTTGCTATTGATCAAATAAAACGATGCAGTTAATTTTTAATTATTTTATATTAAAATTGAACCGTAATATAATTAAGTAAAAGGTCAAAACCATATTTTCTTTTTTACTTTCAGAGCTATTCTCTAAATTTCTTTTTAAAGGTTGTGCTTATATAAATGAACGAATGAAGAGAATAAAAAATATGAGATGGAAATGTGGAGGTCAAATACCAGAAAAAGTCAAAAACAATATGTCAGAACATGAACAAAAATGGCTTAAAAATTATAATGAAATTACTTTTGAATTTCAAAATGAATTTGGAAAAGAAGATGAAGAAAATGAAGGAGAGGAAGTAAATGGGGGAGATGGTAGGTGTTTTTAAAGTTTTTTTTTATTTTATATTTTTTAATACATTTTATAGGTGTTAATTTGTTTAATTATGTTGATCCTCCTGATAAATTAATGGTTAGTTTTCAATTTAAATTAAAAATTTTGGAGAATTTTGGGAATGTTTTGCTCGGTTATTTTTATGTTTTCGTTTCACCTCCTTGTTCTATGTTTTTTTAGAATTGAAAATCATTTAAAATTTTTTAGTTAAAAAATTTCTCATTAAACAAAAATTTCTATTTTTTCAGGTCAAAGTTAGAGCTCTCAAGGATAGCGGCCAGTTTGAAACTAGTGATGGAATTACCGTTGTTTTAGCAAAAGGTGCTGTTCATTTATTGCCTCGACAGGATTGTGAGAATTTAGTGAGGAAAGGAGTACTCGAATATATTAATCAAATAACTGATTGAATAATTTATTTTTATTTATTTTGACATTAATTTGCAAAATAATATTTGAACTTTTTATCATTTTTGTGTTCATAAATTGATATCATTTTTCTTTTTGTTAATCAATAGAACAATTTCTCTAATTGTTAACAAATATATATTTAAAGAATTTAATTATTATTTTTTTTATTTTTTAGTAATTATATACAGATGTGTCCATCACCTCCCATTAGATCAACAAGCAGTAAATGTGCTTGTTTTTGGAAAACTTTAATTGTTATTACTGCAATTATTACTGCTCTCTTTGGTGTTTTTGTTTATCTAAATGAGGAGTTTGAACCTGTTGTTTACAGGTTTTTTTTAAATTTAATTTTATTCTGAGGATTGGCTTGGACTCTTCTAGTTTAAATTCAAATATTTACAATTTTAGACTTCCATCACCACCTTCACTCAAAGGGCCATTAAAACCCAACAATTATCTACGTAATGCTCAAATGCTTCTAAAAGGCCAAATCTTAGGGCCAGAATCTCTGGTTGTTGAAAAGGACGGAAAGAAGACAGTTATTTACACTGGCACTTGGGATGGAAAATTGTTAAAAATAGTTAATGGAATTGTGGAAAAATCTCTGAAAATTAAACCTGGAAAGAAGACTTTTGCCTGCGGTATTTTTTATTTTAAAACAATTTTCCCTATGATGAGAGTCAAATAATTCGTGAAAGATTTTTATACCTAATGGTTTGAACCTTAAATCCCCAACTCCAGAATGGCAATCTCGCATTTTATTGTTTTTTGATGTCCTCTAATTGATATTTTATATAAGGATTCAAAGATTTTGCCAAATTAGTTGACTAGTTATATTAATTAGGAATTGAAAAAATTTTTTCATTTAAAATTTAGGAGCGACTTATCATACGGAACCAAAATGTGGCCGGCCATTAGGAATTCGTCGTCTTAATGAAAATGAATTTATTGTGGCTGAAGCTTATAGTGGATTATACACTGTGGACTTTGAAAAGGTAAAAATTATTTTTAAAAGTTTTTACTTATTTTTTTATAGGAACTGTTAATCAAATATTCTCTAATGAACAAACACTTGAAGAGAAAAAGTGTCATTTTGCTAATGATTTGGATATTCTAAATGCGAGAAATGATAGCAATTCATTTACTGTCTTTTTCTCTCATTCTTCTACACGTTGGGACAGACGCCGGTTTATGCATGACTTTTTTGAAGGAAAATCAACTGGAAGGTTTTAAATTAAAAATTTTTTTTTAATTAAATTAATTTAGACTTATTCGTGTTGAATTTGATAGAAATTTAAAACCGAAGCCATCGGTTGCTTTGGATGGTTTGGGGTTTGCTAATGGCGTCCAACTTCATCCTGATGGAGAATCTCTTCTTGTATCAGAATGTTCTCGTGCAAGAATTATTAGGTTTTTTAACTAAATTTTTTTTTTAAATATTTCCGAAGTTATGCTTGAAAGAATTATCAATGTAAATTATTTCAAGTAATTTCTGTCCAAGTAACCGGGAAAGGGATGGTTTCTATTTTTTATTTTGTTCTTTATAGGTATTTCCACAGCGGCCCTAAACGAGGACAACATTCTGTCTTTACCAAGAATTTGCCTGGATTTCCCGATAATATTCGAATTTCTGCATCTGGACAATCTTTTCTTGTCGGGATGGCTGCTGTTAGACATTCTGATCAATTTATCTCTTTCATGGACTTTTTGGGTGGCCATCCATGGATTCGATGGGGAATAGTACAGGTTTGTTTGGAATACGATTTTTAATAGGCCACCCTTCTTAATCCATTTTTAATCTCATTCCTATTATTCTATCCCTCTTTCTTCCCTCTCAGTTATAATTTAAAAAACAATTTTTCAAAAATTTATTTATTTAGATAATCCCTCAGCGTTATCTTACATCAATTTTAAATTTAATCGCCCAAAAATATGGAATGGTTGTAGAATTGGATTTAAATGGTAAAATTATTCGTTCATATCATGACCCATCAGGAACGGTTATTCAAGGAGTCTCACAGGTTGAATAAAAAAAGAAAAATATTTTTGAAAGTTTTTACAATCTTTTAGGCTTCTGATGACGGTGACTTTCTTTATCTTGGCTCATTTCATGCTGACTTTATTGGGAAAGTTCCAAAGAAAGGCTAATTACAAATGATTAGATAATTGACTAAATTTAAATAGATATATAAAATACACGTGTAGTTTATTTTTTAAGCTACTTAAAAAATTTTGGATAAATTATTTTATTTTTTTAAATATTTCTCGAAAAAAGTTTGAACAATAAGACAGTTAAAAAATGATAAAAGTATTATTTAATAATTATCATCTTTTAACTGTTTTATTGTATTTTTATTTTGTATAAGTTACTATCTCATCCCTGTGTTCCTAGAGTTTTTATTTTTTTGTTTCACAATTTATATTTGTGTTTGATAAAGAAAAATAGTAATCGTTTTTAATGTCTAAAAATATACTTTATCTAATATAAAATAAAAGAAAAAGTTAAACATAACATTATATAGTTTGTTAACGACTAATATACCGTAAATGTTCTAATAGAACCACATGCGCTTCTATTTTTCGATCCTCCCGTAGGGTGTGGTTATATTAGAGAGTACTTCAAATAGAGAGTGTGCTTTTATTTTTCAATGCTTTAAAATTCCACTCAAAATTCCAATTATTGAGATTCATGAACTCTGGATTTTTAACCTAAATTGTCCTAATTTTAAGCTTAATTTCTTGAAATTGAAAATATATCTGCCATTATTTCAAAAGCTTTCTGATAATAAAACAAAACATTTTGTAGAAAATACAAAATACCCTTCAGGATCACGCAACGAAGGGTTTTTCAAAAAAACATTTACAGCAGGATTCAATATGTTAAATCCAGCATCCCGCGAAGCGAAAAAAGTTCTGACTTCCGAAGTAGGGTGTGTGGTTCTATTAGAACATTTACGGTATTGAGTTTAAAAATAAAATAATTCTAATTCCCAGCAAAAACAAAAGGGGAGTATTTCTTTAAAAATATAAAAGTTTCTGAACTCCCAAAAAGACTAATTCTCAACTCCATAATAAAAAACGAAAATTGTTTAAAATTTAAATACCCATAAAAATTGTTTACTAAAGAATATTTTCTTTTAAATCCCCCTATAATTTCTCCCAAAATTTTCCAAAATATTTAATTCCCTCCCCTAGGTCGACGTCCCCTTCTACCTCCTCTACGGACTTCAGGTTGACCTCCTCCTTGACCACTACTTTGCCCTTGACTACTTCCACCAATATGCTGTTGATGTCCTCCATGTTGTACACCTCTAAGTTGATCGTAATTTGATGAACAAATGTTGTAAATCTATTTTATAATATAAAAATTGGTTAATAAGATTAGTAATCTATAGTAAATTTTTTTGATTTTCTGAATATTTTTTTCCTCAATAATTTATGTATGTATCTCTCGAACAAAAAAATCTTCCTTTTAAATTGAGAGCGAAATACATGTGAAGTCCCCGATTTCTATCTATTGTTTAAATAAGAATCCGACAATTTCAAATTGCATGGCTCGGTATCTGAGGTTTTTCTTGAAAATTGATCCGGTCAAGAGTTTCTATGTTAAACCCCCAGAAACCCCTAAAAACCGGATTTTATCAAATTACCAGGTTTCTGAGTTATCTGTGTCTATTAAATAAGATTAAAATTCCCAAAGAATTTAAGTATTTTTAATAAATTAATTAAAGGTGTATTGTCTTTATTTTAAAAATAAAAGTTTAAATAATTTACATAATTAACCAATCCATAATGTATTTGTGGAGGAACAATTAGGGTATTTGAAAGTTTTAAAGGTTCAATAATACTTTCATCTAAATATTCTCTTTGATTCTCATTTTTGTAAACAATTTCATTAATAAAATAATTATTTACAATATTTTGTTCAAGTTTTAATTTAAGTTTTGGAGAATAAATATTGTAATAAAAAGCATAAAATTTTGTAAAGAAAATACTATTTTCAAAATTTTGATTAGGTAAAGCTTGGTTATTTATAACCCAAATACAATCTTCTTTTGTTGGTAATAATTCTTCTGGTGACACTAAATTTTAAAAATATTTGGGAGAGCAATTTTAAATATTTAAAAGACTACATAATTATCTTAAGCGTGTCTTACATTTAAAGTATTTTTAAAAAAGGATATTTTTTAAATATAGCGAATTTATTTATAACTAAAATCAAAATCCAAAATTTATTATTAATTATATCAAAAGTTTAACCAACGGTCAGGAATCGAACCTTTGACTTTTCTAAGTGCCTGGAAGGCTTTTGTTTACACACGACAATTTTCTGATTTATCTTATCTTCCTGTAGACCGTTTAATCCTTGCTTAAACGTTTTAAATTCTGTCAGATACAAAATAAAAAATAATTACGTTCATTATGTCGATAATACAGATGCAAAATGAATTTAAAATATTCATTTCCGTTTGTTTCAATTGCCTCGAAAGGGGAAAATGTTGCTGGGTAAATAATGCCCTCTTCTGATTCAGCATCCTTTAGAGACATTATTAATTCATTACGAGCTATAAAAATAAATATATTTTTTTTTAATTATTGAGCAAAAACCCTAAAAGGAATCTGTCTACGCTTATTAAATATAACCGAAGTTAGCTATTGTTATTGATGCTACTACAAAGGAATTATTGCTATAAAAGAAGTTAACTAATCCATCAATCAAATCAAGTGCCCATAGGTCGTGAATACGAAAAAATTGTTGAATAAACAAACACTCCAAGAAAAATTAATTTTCAAAGAATATGTACGTAGCTGGGTTGTGCCCCTTCGTTTTTTAATTAAAATTTGTTTTGGCACACCCCTGATACATACTTTCCTAGGAAAATGCCTGTTTCTCAAAAATCTATTTAAATATATTTAATGTATTTTCTTACTAAAATGAGAATTGTTATATACAAAATCAACTTCAGATTCGTAAAAAACTTGCATGTCTTCAAGAGTTTTCATAAAATAGTTTGCATTAACCTCTAAAAAGTCATAAGCTTGGATATATCCAAGAATTGAAATCTTTTCCCTTTAAAGTTTTAATTAAAATTAATTTAAAGAATTAAAGTATTTACTAGAATGTATATTACTATCAATTTCTGAGCCCGCAAAATTTTTATATTTTTTTAATGAACCCCCCCCCCCCCTTTTTCAAAATATATATATCCAAAAAATCTCTTGGCTTTTATCTAGACTCCCTCATAATTTGACCCCATCTCCCCCTTAATTTCTGATTAAATTAACGAAAATAAATTGAGAGCGTATTATTTTTGGAATTTTATTTAAAAAAATTTTCCGCTAAAACTCCGTAAACCCCGACCCGAACAACGACCTTATTTTGCTCCCCCGACCCGAACCCCGCCCCGAAACAATTCGAAAACCCCGTACTTCGACATACCCGCCTCCGAGCGTTCGGGGTCAAACCTTAATTTTAACTAATAATTACCGAGGTATTCTTTGACTATTATCTGAACGTTCAATTAATAAATTATCATAATATTTATTTTGATAATGAAATAAAATAAAAGAACGAATTAAACTTCGAGCAAATCCAATCAAATGCCACAAAATAAAAATATTTTTTTCAATTATTGTTATATTTGCACATTCTTTGTAAAGATTATACAAATGGTCTGGGCTAGAAAATATTTAAAATTTATTTTTAATCCACCCCCCCCCCCCACCCCTTTATTTATTTCAAAATTCAGTAAAGCAGTTGGGCTATAGCAATTTCTCTCCTTCAGCTAGTGCAAAGGGTTATCCAGCGGTTGGAGCTAAACAGCATCTTCAGTAGACCGGACTGATCTGTTAGCCCTATATTAGTCGCCGCCTACTACACAGCCTCTATATTAGTGTTTCACCGGAACCGAAATTTTGACCGGAACTGGATCCAATTTTAGTTCCGGTTCCCGGAACCGGAACTTCCGGTGAAACTCTACTCTATATGCTTTACAATTCTAATTTTGTTTATTTTTAATTTGAAAATTACTTTAATAACAAAATAATATCTTTAGCATTTTTAATCATTTCTTCAACATTATTTACATTTCCATGTACTAAAAGCCCCCAATTGTTAAGAAATTCCCCAAAATTCTGTAAATTTTTTGTTGACAAAAATGAATTAAATCTTTTTTCAATTTCAATTTCAAACTCTTCTCTATTTATTTCATTTCCATATTCATCATAAAATTCCAGTAAATCCTCATTTTTATATTCTTGACCTTTTTGTATTAAAGCATTATAATACAAAATAACCTTTTTAATTAATTAATTAATTAATTAAAATATCAAAAATTCCAAACCTTTTCTATTTTTGTAAACAAATTTTCAAAAATAAAAGGATTATTTAATTGCCGACCAATATATCCCCTCATTTCATTCAAAACCATTCCCCTACAATTTTTAATTATTTCCAAAATTTCCATATTATAATTTATTTTTAATAATTCCATATTTATTTTTAATAAAATTTTAACAAAAAAAGACAATTCAAAAAGAGAAAATTTTATTTCTTCAAAATTAAAGTATTGAAGGTGTTGTTGTGGATGTTGGGAGGAAGTTGAACTTTCACCTACTACTATTTCTTTTCCTTTTACACCTAAATAAAAATAGGTATTTAAAATTACTGGAGACTACATAACTTTCTATAAAGAGACTGGTAAAAATGTTTGTTATAGTAAAGCAGCTGGGCTCTAGCTATTTCTCTCCTTTGGCCAGGCAAAAGGTTAATCCGCGGCTGGGAGCGAACCAGCATCTCCAGTAGACCGGACTGATGTGTTAGCCATTACACCACGCCGCCTACTGCACAGCCTTAGGAATTAAATATGCTTTACATTATAATCGAGGAATTAGTTAATACGAGAATTATTTTTAGTCTCTCATTTTTTTAATTTAAAAAAATTACTACGAGGAGGTAACATTCCATTTACTTCAATTTTATTTTCAAAAATATTTAAATAAAAAAATAAAAGAAAAATTAAAATAAAAATAATATTCATTTTTTAAAAATTTTTTTAAAGGAAAAAATTCTTTTTTTCTTTAATTTTAAAAATAAATAAATAAAATTGGTAAATTTAGTTTCTTTTTATTACCAAATAATTTTTCTTATTCATAGTAGATTTAAATGCCCTTTTTTAAATAATTTTGGCAGCTCTATAATTTGGCCACGTCAAATTTTTGCAAAAAGGCGGAATTCTTAAAAGCAAGCAAAGGGCAAATCAAGAGCTGTTTCGAATTTTCGATTATCGAGAGTCTTTTTCTTTCGAAATTTCGAATTTTTGAAAAAAATTTGAATAATTGACGCCAAAAATAAAAGAGTTGTTTTCGAAATTTCGAGTATGTTTGACAGAGATCTTTTTAACAAAGAAAACTTGATATGTTTTTATTCTAAAAAATAAAAGTGTAAGATTATTTCATAAACTTTTAAAAACTGCTAATAAATAACACAAACACCTTTTAATGTTCGTGTTTCACTAGTCAATCAGTTATTGATGCAGTTAAATGAAAATAAAGAGGTAGGGAGTTAATTCGGCGCCTGCAGCTTAATAACAATGTTTATTTTTTGTTTTGATTTTATGTCAAACAAAAAATATTTTGAAACCTAAATTACTTATTTAGTTAAAAATCCGATTATTCTATAAAGCACACTATTAAAAAATTTTTTTAAATAAAAAATTCTGCCTTCGTAAGACGAGGTTTGTATATGTACTTTAAATGAGAGAATCTTTGATCAAAAAATAATTTTATCATTTTAGAATATTTTTATATAATAGATAAGATTAGCTTATCTTTAAATTATTTTTAAGAACAATTTGTATTTAATGAACTACCTCTTTCATTGTGTATTTTTAATTTTCAATAAAACACCCAAATTTGACGCCAACTTGTTTGCGCCGTAAATTTGTTGAAAATAAACTTTTCAAAGTTTCTTTTTCTTTTCTATGTCGATTCTTTTATTTCAACTTTTATAACTTTGTCTTTTCTCCAATCCAAACATCGTTCAATATTTTTTTATTTTTGCCACATCGACATAAAAAATTCCACGTTTTGTTTTTCGGTTATTAAATTATTCTGACTATTAAATAACAATTATTTTTATTTAAATTTAATAGTTTTGAAGAAAAACAAAGGAATTTTTTTTATTATTTTTTATCTCGAACAATGAATAATAACAAAATTTTAGGGACACGCCCGAAACGGCGCGGGCCAAAACGGCGCGACCGAAACGGCGCGACCGAAACGGCGCGACCGAAACGACGCAGGCCGAAACGGCGCAAGGCCAAAACGGCGCAGGCCCAAAACGGCGCAAAAATTCCCCATAAGCTACATATTGTTACGTGAGGTTTAGCTCGAATGGTGATCGTATCTTTTGGTGATGTGAACAAAAAATAGCAGGTGTAAAGGTACAACATCTTGTGATAACAGAGTGATAACAAAAATTAAGAGTGATAACAAAACTATTTAGATCGTATACTTACTAGTAAGTATAACTGCGAGAAATAACTGCGGGATTCAGATAGTTCCAATATAACTATATATTACTAGTTAGTTCCCCCTATAACTACTATATAGTTATCCCCATATTATTACTGTAACCATCTAGAATTCGTTATTTTTATTCTGGTCGTTGATGTCGGAACATTTCACCGCTGCTGGAACAACTTTTCTCAATGCTAAAACGATCTTCCACATTGTTGGAACAATTTTCCCTTAATGCGCAAAACCTTATTGCAGATTTTAAATAATTCGAAGTCAGTGTACGCAATGGTGGCTAATGATCGATCACTAAGGTCAGATCGATCACAAATAGGTTGATCTAGAGATCAATTAATCAATCTCACAGTTGATCACATGATGATAACACGATTAATCACTATCACTGTGGAGTTTAGGGTTTGCGCCGTTTTGGGCCGTGCGCCGTTTTGGCCTTGCGCCGTTTCGGCCTGCGTCGTTTCGGTCGCGCCGTTTCGGTCGCGCCGTTTTGGCCCGCGCCGTAATGGGCTGTACCCAAAATTTTACACACCCTATAATTACTGTAGCAATTTCGGAAATCTTTTAAATATAAATAAATACATAACGCCAAAGAATTAGAAATAGTATGGAAATCTGCAGAATTTTTCTCTAACCTCTTCTGGAAATTTTTTTTGTTTTGTTTCAAGAAATGCTTTTTTAAATTAATAAACCGAATTTAAATTTTTAGATCAAATTCATTTACGAACACAGCTCTCAGAGCTCGTGGAGAAACATCAAAAAGCTCATTGTCACCGAGCAGAAAAAGGCCCGGGCAATTTAACAACAGAAAAAGATACGAGAAGTAAGAAAAATATTTAAAGTTGGAATAGTTCTAGCCAATCAATTTCTCTGTTTTTAATGTTAATTTTTAAAGGCCCAGAATATCAAAATGGCCGATAATAAAGAAAACGGCGATACCAAAACTGCAGTTGAGGTTAAAGAAGGAGTCAAAGACGTTGTTGACTCGACTATATCTTCTCCTCCAACAAATGGTAAACAGCAAAAAGAGCAAAAGAAAATTGTAGCAGAGCGTGTCACTGGCATTGTTAAATGGTTTAATGTTATGAATGGATATGGGTTTATTTGCCGTGATGATACAAATGAGGTTTTTATTTAAATTTTAAAACTTTAATTGGGGATAGGGTGTGTTTAGAAAAGTTAGGGTTAGTTATTACTCTTTGTTGTTTAATTATAATTATTAAATGTGGGATTGTCAGTTCTACGAAATTCTCCGGATATCCGTAATCGAACTGAAAAGTCCTTGTTCCTTTGGTTTGCCCATAACTGACAACTAACCAAGTAACCACTAATGTAAATTAAACAGGATATTTTTGTCCACAACTCTGCTATATCAAAGAACAATCCAGAGAAGGCTCAACGCTCGCTGGGTGATGGTGAAAAGGTTTATTTTAATTAAAAAGTACATACTTTTAATTAAATGGTTTTAGGTACTTTTCGACGTCGTTGAAGGAACTAAAGGTCCAGAAGCAAGTAATGTTACAGGACCGGAAGGACAGAATGTTGTTGGTTCCAAGTATGCCGCTGGTATGCCGCTTTAAAGAATATCTAACATAAATAATCCTTAAATTTAGATGCTAGCCAACAGCGTCGTTATCCACGTCGCAACTTTTATCGTGTTCGCAACCGTCCTCGTGGGAATCGTCTAAGTGCTGGTGCTCCTACTGGTGAAAATGGTGGGACTGGAGAAGGAAAGGATACTGCGCCTGGCGAAGGTGTTACTGATGCGAATGGTGGTGGTGATGGACAGCCTCGAAAAGAACAACAGGTTCTTTTAATTTCTTAAATTTTTTTAAAAATATTTTTAAAATTTTAGAAGGGACAAGGAAGAGGAGGAGTGCGACGTCGTTTTCGTCGCAGTGGAAATCAAGGTGAACAACAACAGCAAGGAGTTCCTGGTGGTGGTGGAGGTCATAATCGTCGCCGAGCATCAGGAGGTGGAGATGCTGGAAAGAAGCAAATTGCCCGCGAAGGAGAAGGTGGTGAAGAGCATAACAATAAAAATGTTAAAGGCAATAATAATTCTAATCGACCAGCTAATGGAGGGGGAGGTGGATTTGGAGGAGGATGGCGACGTCGTCAAGGAGGGGGAAAAGGAGGAGGTTTTTATTTTTAATTTTAATCTGTAATAGAGACGAAAACAATTCAAAATGGGTAGAAATAGGGCATATTTTAAAGTTTATTCGACACATTTTCGCTCCAGAGCTATAAAACATCCTTGAAACACACACTAAAACCCAATTTCAAATTAACAATTGTCAAAAACATTTAACATAAGCTTCTAATTCTTTACTTTCCAAAGGCGCACCTCAAGCTCCAACACTTGACCAACAACCAGGAGGAGGTGGTGGTATAAAGACTGAGCCTGCTGAAGAACAAAAGGTGGATAAAGCCTGGTAAAGAAAAGAATTTTTAAGATTTATGGATCGAAAGAGAGAAAACAAAAAGCGACAAATAACCGATAAACACCACCACCCAATCAGCCAATTTATTCTATTCTCGATAAAATATATATTTGTAATTGTGGGTGAAAATTAATTAATGAAAGAAGATTAAATTAAATTTTAAGAAGAAATCTTTGGAATATTCGTGTTAAAATTTTAATTTTAAAAGAAATTTTCCTTTCATTAATTAATTATCACATTTTATATTCAACATTAAAAACCACCGCCACAATACTCGTCGTCGAGATATTTTGATTATATATTACTTTTTAAAGGCTGGCTTTATTTTTACTCTTCTTTCCAATACCCAACCAACACACTGTGTCGCTAATTCTTTTGTTTTTGTTTGATAAAAAATACAAAAAAATTTTGAAAGGATTTCTTAGTTTTTACATTTAAAGAAGACATTTACTCATCACAAAATTTATTTAAAAAAACATTTTTATTACGTCAGACAATTTTACAAAAAATATTTTCATTCTCTTAAACAGGTTTATAATCCAACTTTGTTTCCAATTTTTTTGCTTCTCCAACTTTGCGAACTGCTTTCATGAAATCTTCTTGTATGACATATTCTCTTTCTTTTCTAATTGCATTCATTCCAGCTTCTGTGCAAACATTACGTAAATCCGCGCCAGAAAAGCCTTCGGAAAGTTTAGCAATTGCTTCGTAATCGATTGGTTCTTGTTTGGTTATTGGTTGAGCGTGGATTTTAAGAACCTAAAAATTAATAATTAAGGGGGATACTCTCCAAATTTTATAAAAGTCTTTAATTTAATTTTCACAAAATATCTAAAAACAAATACTAAAAAGAATAATTAATCCAAAAAAACTAACAGAAAGTCTGCTTTGTGCATTCGGCAAAGGAATCTCAATTTTGCGGTCCAATCGGCCTGGACGTAGAAGAGCTGGATCCAGCTTAAAAGTTAATTAAAGTTGAATTCTGTAGGTGAAAAGGAAGAGAAATTAAAGAAAAAACAAAAATAGAATTAATTTTTTCTAATTATTTTTAATTAAATTTACAGTATCCGGTCGATTCGTTGCCATAATTATTTTCACTTTTCCCAAAGAATCAAAGCCATCCATTTGGTTAAGTAACTCCATTAAAGTACGTTGAATTTCACGATCAGCAGAAGTTCCCTCAGAGAAGCGGCGGCCCCCTTTAAAAATTATTTTTAAAAAATTAAAAAAAAAACAAAAAAAACCAATAGCATCAATTTCATCCATAAAAATAATGCAAGGTTGGTGATCCCGGGCATAATTAAACATTTCACGAATCATACGTGCAGATTCTCCAATATATTTATCAACAATTGCTGAAGAAACAACTTTAAGAAAATTACAGTCAAGTTGAGTAGCTACAGCCCTGAAAAATAAAAATTTAATAAAAAATAATTAAAAATATTCTTTACCTAGCCAAAAGAGTTTTTCCAGTTCCTGGAGGTCCATAAAGAAGACAACCTTTTGGTGGAGTAATTCCAACACGTTTGAATAATTCTGGATTGATTAAAGGTAATTCGACAACCTTTAAAAATTAAATAAATTATGAAAAAAACTCCAAGACCTCTCTCAATTCCCGAATTTGTTCATTTAAACCGCCAATATCAGCATACGAAACATTTCCAGGATCTTCATGACTCATTTTATAAACAAGAGGATCGACTTCCCGAGGTAATTGTCTCATAATAGTCATTGTAGTCATATCTAGAGCTACACGAGTACCCTTTAAAATAAAATTTAAAAGAAAAATTTAAAGAAAAACACTTGTTTAAGTTTGTCTTTGGCAACAGATCGTCTACATCCAACAACATAACGAGGACCATTTGTTGCTTTAACAATAAATTTATCTTCGGTTAATTGCTTCAAGACTTCCCCAACAATTTGCCCAACAGATTGGAGAGCTCGAATATCATTTTCTGATTTGTCAAATAATTTTTGTGATTCCCGTTCCTGAAAATTATTTATGAAAGAAGGGATTTGGAAGGGCATAAATCTCCATCCCCTATATTTGTTAAATAATTAAAAATTAAAATTTAAAAATTACTTTAACACGAAGATCTTTAAGTCTATTCTCAATTTCACGGCATTCCGTCAACTTTCGCTTGTAGGTTGCCAAAGCTCGAGATTTGTCATCAGATTGGGCAGTCATTTATTTAATAATTAATATTTATTCAAATAAAATCTCTAAAATAAAAATATGAATTGCCCGGCGCCGATCAGAATTTACGAACACGAAGTCAAATTCATAGTCCGAACCCGGAAAAGCGAGCATAAATCGCACAAAAAAATCAAATTTAAAATACAAAAAAAAAAATTTTTTACATATTTGACAAAAAGTCAGACACGGACAAATCGTTTTCTCTATTTCAATTAAATTAAAAATAATCAAATATAAAAGGAAATCGTTTCAAAAAATTTTTTTGAACAATTATTACAGTATCAGTCTAAAAAAAGTTTTTAGACCGGCATTTTGTATTGTCCTCAATTTTACAAATACCTGCATATATTTAATTATTATTTTAAAAATTATTAGTCAATTAAATATTTTCAATTTTCATTTATTATCATATTTTCTCTTACTAATATTTTTATTCCCTTCTACTTTCTTATAAATCTCCTAAATGTACATAAAAGGTTTGTGGTGGTCATCTCGCTCAATGGATCACTTGTTCGCAAATCTTCACATTTCTTTTAAAACTCTCTCCAAATGCCTGTTATTGTGTGTTCTCCTTTGCTAGAAAATATCAACCAACACACACCCGATTGAATTTTTTTAGTCATTTAAGATGGAGATTGTCGTTACACATTTTCTCAATCCAATGCCCAATATTATTCTTTCCATCCGAAAGATCTCTCCGAATATTTTGTTTTGATATTTAATTAGTAGACTATAATATTAAAATAAACAAATTCTTTTAATTTTTAAATTCACCTTTATTCAAATATTTAATAATTAATTCAAAAATGTCAATTTTCAAACCTCCGTTTTTACAAATTTTCTCCGTTTTTTAATTCCTATTGAAGTTTATGCCAATAATATTCCAATCCCCTTTTCCTCTAAAATTAACAATCCTTTCCTGGGCCGCAAAAAAACTAAAAAATATGCATGAAATATTCAAAATTTCTCAAAATATGAACTAAATATGCAGATAAAATTGACGAAAATTTTATATCCGCTAATAATTTTCGGGAAATTTTTGAGAAATTTTTATAGAGAAAAAATGCTAAATCTTAAAAACGTCAAAATATTTAAGCATAAATTTTATGAGCCGTTATAAATAATATGTATTTAATAAGAAGCATGTTCCAAAAAGCTTAAACTAATGCAGGGTTTCGATCTCGAATTTTTAAAAATCCGCAAATTTGATCGAAAAAATCCGCATTTTGTATGAAAAATCCGCAAAAAATTATCAAACACAAAAATTGAATTAAACGCACTTTATGCATCATATTTTTCGTCTTCTACAATTAAATTAAGCAATTTTTTATTACTGATGATCATCTTATAAATCCGACAATTATCTAAAAAATTAGTCATGCATTTTTGTCGCGGAAGATGTCGTAAATTTTTATTTTTTCCGTTTTCAGCGCCGCAGGCGAAAATTTTTTAATTTTGGAAGATCCTTAAGCCAAAAATCTTTAATTTTCAGGCAGGCAAAAATTTTTGAGGATTTTGGAAGATCAAGGACACAGATTCCGTCCTTTTTTGCGCCGCAGGCGAAAATTTGGAGAATTTTAGAAGGTCTTAGTAGAAAATAATGACATTTTGCTTAAAACCACAAGAAAATATAAAAAATCCTCATAATCTTCAAAAGACCACAAAAATCCGCAAATCCGCATTTTTAAAAATAATCCTCATCGCCCTATCAAAAAACCACAAAATGAGGAAAAATCCGCAGATATCGAAACCCTGAACTAATGTGAACATACTACATTGTAAAACAAAAGAAATTAGTTGGAATTATAATTTCTTAGCAAACATGCAATTACAAGTTTTGGCCAGTTTTCTTTTTTTCGAATTTTCTAATGTACGTCATTTGACAAAAAAGAACCTTCATTTCCACATTAATTATTTATTTTAACTTGCTCGCTTTCTCCAGAAATTCTCCATTAATTTCTGGTTTATTATTCTTATTAAATCTCCTTATATTATTAGTCATCATCCTCTTCATCATCCCCTTTTTTTAATTAATATCCACAAAAATATCCACATATTAATTGTCTCTATTTATCCTCCCTCCCCCTCCTTCCTAAATAATAATTCTTTAATTTTTCTAAAACCACAGATCTCTTCCTTCTTCCTTTTTAAATGTTTATTCCTCCCCTTCTTCGGCCTTCCATAACCATCCTTTTATTAACAATATTTATTACAACTTTTACTTCTGCAAAAGATCAGACTCGTGTAAAGCGGCAAGGAGGGGCAACAGTCCTTACAAAGGCTTGGAATGAAGCACTTCCCGGGGTCTTTTTGAAAATAGATTTAAAATTTTATTTTACCTTCAAGGTACCCCCATTTTGGGATAAATATAGCTCTGGACCATATGGTAAGTTGAATTTTTAAAGATAATAATTGCTTTTAATTATTGTTAAAAATAAATTTCCTCAACTTTCTTATAAATTTATTTTCTATTAAAAATTAAAAAAAGGTATTGTCATTCGTGGATGGCAATTTAGTAGATGTGCTAGTGAACAATGGACAAATTATGTAGTTAATGTCTCTAATATTGTTATTTGGCCTGATTATCCACGCTTTCCCGGTCCGATATTTTTTAATGTAACGATGGACGTTAATGAAGATTTGCCTATTGATAAAATTGAAATGGATTTGGAGGTTAAGAAGAAAAATAGATATTTGATTTAAAATTAATTGATTTTGGTTGGAAATTGTAAGGATGATTCACCTAGCAGCATTTAAAACGTTTAGGCGGGAGTGCCAATAAATAGTTTGTCCAAAACTTTTCTTGTCACCCTGTAAGGATAAAAGAGAGAGGATTAGTTCGCTCTGGTAGCTCAGTAGTAGAGCACCTGTATGTGGTGAGCGAAAGGAGATCGCAGGTTCAATCCTGCCCGCTGGCTAAACTTTTCCTAAACTCTTAATGAATTAAAAATTCCTTTTACTATTAAACTGAAAAAAATAAAAGCTTAAAAATATAAGAGAATTAAGTAAATGTTAATTTTTTAAATTTAATCCAGAAAAATATTTGTTAAAGGTCAGACATGCAGTTAATGGAAAATTAAATGCTAGAGGCTGGCAAGTAATTCCTTGTCAAGGATGGAATCTTTTAGTAAATAATAAATATTTTTAAAAAGAAAATTAAAATTTAAAAAGGATGGTTGTGATGGTGTAGGTTCTTGTCGTTATTGTGATATGTTAGATAAATGTAAAGAAACTGTTAAAAGTGCCCATAAATATGTTAATGGTTAATTTAATTAAATAATTAAATTAATTTTTGTTTTTTCCTCCAATTTTATATCGAAAAGCTGAGGATTTTCTTCGTCAAAATAAATTATGCCCTCCACCAAAAGGACATTGGACAATGACTTTTAGTAAAATATTTACTATAGAGGATTTACCTAAAAGTTTTTTTGGTCCTCTTCAATCGGTAAATTAATTAAGTATTTATTGGGATTTTTAAATATTCCTTTAATATTTTAATTTTTTCTCAAATGTTAATAATAATAATAATAATAATGTCCCTCTCTCAAATAATTGTCCCCTCCTTATTATTACCCCTCCAGTGAGAGGTTGAAACAATAATTACCCTGGGTAATTATTTAGCAAATACATAGGTTTTTTTCGATTTAATTCTGAAACTTAAATAAATATAGTAATTAAAATAATTAGATTTTAAGATAGGATTAGGATATTCGGCACTGATAATTTTTAAGGGAGAGATTTTCAAAAAGCCAACAAATTTTCAATTTTCTACGACCCAGATACAAGAACTGAATTAATATCCGAAGCTAGTTTAAGAACTTTTTCTCAACAATTATTTTTTCAGAAATATTTAAATTAAAAATTAATTTTTTTAAATTAATTAAAGAATGAATATTGGTTAACATTTAATTTCACTGACGGAAAAGACAAAAAATTGGGTTGTGCACGTTTGTGGGTAGATGCATGTAAATATCATTTACAAGACAAACAACAAAAATGTTTAAAAGATCCAAATGCTTTTAAAGAATTTATTAAAGGTTATTGAATTAAATAAATTAAAAATAAAATTTATTTTTTTTCAGAATTCAGCAGTCAGGCAGAACAAATTCGGCAAAGAACATCAACAAATAAATAAATTAAGAAAGAAAATAAGGTGTTTTACGCGGGTCGGATTTTTAATAATTTATATATGTAGTAGAGGATGGTTAAAAGAATATGTAAAATAATTAGAGACCGGATTTTTAAATTGTAAAAACCTTAAAATAGTTAAAAATAAATTGATAAAATTTCAAAAATAGGGAAAAAGTAAGAGGGGTAGTTAAGTAATTCACATTTTTCATAACTTACTAAAATAATAACTAAGAAATATTTCTCAATTTATTAAAGAATATTTGTTCAAAAAGTGTTAAGATTTTTGAAAAATTAGAAAAATTTTATTTTTTATTTAAAAATATCCAAAATATGTATAACTAAAAATAGAAAAGAACATTTAAAATAGTTTACAATTTCTAAAATAGTTTCTAATAAATGTTAAAAAGGCCCTGTAATAATAAATATTTTAAGAAAGGACACACAACCTTCTTACAACTAGAGTTGGGCGGGATCGGGATCCCGACGTAAAATCGGGATCGGGATTTTGGAATGATGATCCCGATCCCGGTCCCGACTGCGGGATCGGGATTGGACGAAATCGGGATCGGGATTCGGAGTAATGATCCCGATCCCGGTCCCGATCCCGACTCGGGATCGGGATTGAAAAATCGGGATCGGGATTTAGTTAAAAAAAATTTTCAAAATTTAAATTTTTATTTACATTGCATATACCTCAATATAATTCCACAATTTTTATCTGCTGTGCTGAAATATTGATTTTAAGTCCCAGCGCGCATTTGTTCTTGGCGTATCAGGGATTAAGGAGGAGGGATAAAGTATTAACGATAAGGTGATTCTGATGGATTAAGAGGGATATCGTTGATTAATGAGATATTGGGATCTAGATGGACATCTAGGATATCCATTATATCCGTTCAAATCCATTCCGTCGATAGGTTTATAAATGAGTCTCTTCTTATTCACCGTCGGAGGCAAAAATTTTGAAAAATTTCGAAGATTCTCAAGCTAAAATCTTCATTTTTAGCGCCGCAGGCGAAAATTTTGAAAATTTTGGATGGCGTAGAAGCCAAATTGCTTTATTTTCAGCTCATTAATATATATTTTCATTAATTTATAAAATCCCGATTTCATCGGGATCCGATTGCTAATCCCGATCCCGGTCCCGATCCCGGCTCGGGATCGGGATCGGCCAAAACCGGGATCGGGATTTGTCTTTCGGGTTCGGGATCAGAAAAATCGGGATCGGGATTCAAAAAACCCGGGATAATCCCGCCCGATCCCGACCGGGATCCCGATCCCGCCCAACTCTACTTACAACAACAATTATTTCAGGAAAAGAAATAAATTACGGTTTAAAAGTCCGGGCTCTAAAAAATTTAAATTTTTTAAAATAATTTAATTAAAATTTATGGAAGAATTCTTAAAAAGTTTTCTTATTTAAATTAAGTTTGTTTGTTTATTTCTAAAATTTTTCACCAGAGCACTAGAATGCTTAGGTTTTAACAAATGATTGATCAAACTAGTATTTTGAACAGACAGAAAAAAAAACAAAAATTTGAAAATTAAAAATTATTTTCTAGAAAAGTCTAATCTCTCAAAACTCCATTTTTAACAACCTTAATTAAAAAAACAAAATTAACTAAAATATTTATCAGAACTACATTTTTTTAAATAATATAAAAGTGACGGTCAACAATGTCACAATTTTCTCAAAATTAAAAAAAAATTAAAAAAATACAAATTAAAAATCAAAAGGAAAATAAATTAAAATTTAACAATTAAAAGCCCCACAAAAGAAAGTGATAAATAATAATTAATTTAAAATTTAAAACAAATTTCTGGCTTTTTATAGTTGTTTTTTGTTAAATTATATCAAACTTGCGACTTTAGAATATTGTAAAAAAATTCTAGTCGTAAATATACTGGCGTTAAATTAACTAAAATAGAAAAAAGAGAAAATAGGAGAGAAGATAATAGTTAAATCTTTTAAAATTAAGTTTCTCTAATTGAAGGACCATTTTCAGTCGGCTTTTTTGAAGAGTGATTGAAAAATAGAAAGGCCAGTCACTAAAATAGGGAAAGCCCATATAATAGGTAAATTAATAACACACTTTAACTTGGGAGGAGGAGGGGGTGTTTGTACATATTCAAAAAGAAATAAAGATTAATTTAACTATTTAAAAACAATCCGAAAAGAGAAAAGAAACGAGAGGAAGACTGACATATACTAAAATAGGTACATATGTTTGTATTTAGTATATCCAAAATCAACAATCTCTCAATTATTGCCGCCTCCTCTATTTCCTCTGTTGCGACGTGATTGACGTTGTGGTGGTGGTGGTGGTGGTGGTTCAAAAAGATTTTTAATCTAAATTTTTTGTTTAGAAAATTAATTGTTTTGTACTTCCCAAAAATACAAATCCGCGCGTTTTTGTGACTGATAAATTACACAAATTCAGTGTCTTTTAACACATTATTAGGGACAGCCAAAACATGCAAATGCATGTTTTGTATGCTGATATGCCTTAACGTGGGAAGCCCAAAAATGGTGTTTTTACATTGGTACGAGCACTTTAGGACCCGGTTCTTAATGCATATATTTGCATATTTCGGCCCTCCCGTGCATATTTGCATATTTGTGCATATTTTGGCAACTTTTGCATATTTTGGTCCATATTTCGGCATTTTTTGGTAAATTTTAGTAAAAATCGGCGAAAATTTTCAATTTTTCGGAATTTTTTTGGTCAAAAAATTTATTATAAAAATTTTATAAAAAAATTTTTTCGAAAAATTTTTCGGAAAAATTTTCTTTTGTTAAATTTCTATGCAATAATCTTAATTCCATAAAATCTTTTAAGAATTTTCTTAAATTGCGGGTTTGAAGGCTAATTTCGAGTTTTTGGCTTAAAATATTGATCTTTAAAGCATATTTTAACTAGTTTTTGGTGCATATTTCAGTGCATATTTTGGCAAATTTTGCATATTTTGGTGCATATTTTGAACTTTTTCGCTGCATATATATGCGCATATTTGGCGATTTTCCGTGCATATTTTGGCTGTCCCTACACATTATATACTACATAAAAAAGTTAATCCCTTTTGGTTAATTTTGTGCCAGTGACAAATATAGGGGAATTTTGGGAGGGATGGGGAGAAATTGGTACATAACCCAACCCTCTACTACCAAATTCTCATCTACAGAAAAACTCAAGTCTTTAGTAAACGCTAAAAGTCCTTTGTCAATTTATAAAAAATAAACTCAACCTTTGTCACAGCTTCTTCATGTCCATGAGGTGGAATATCGTAAAAACGCATTTTAATTAATTCAGTAGAATTTTCCAAATAATATTTTGAATTTACACAATTTGAAATAATATCTTTATTTATTACAAAATACTCCAATTTTTGTTGTACTTTTACAGTTAAATTGTAATAAAAAAGATAAAGAGAAAAATGTGTATTTATTGTTGCTTTAATTGTATCTACTTCTTCTGTAGAAAAATATTCTTTCGGGGCTGAAAATATTTTGAATAGTTTTTAAATTTATTTTTTTAAAGGGTGTACTAGGCTCTGGTCTAGTTTAGTAGTTCAGTGAAAGTTTAATAGTTAAATGAAGGTTTATGAGTTCCATCAAATATTTTTGAGTTCAATGAAAAAATAGTGCTGACATATTACAACAGTTGGGAAAGTTTCATGCTGATTATAATAAGGGGGATACCGGATTTATTCTGATAGGACCAACAGTGGTTCTATCTTTCAACCCCTCAATTGATATATTAGGCTCAAATAGAGACCTTTGGAACCGGTTCCGGACCCTTGCCGGACCCTCGACCCTTTCCAAACCGGTTCCAGACATTTATCGGTTCCACGTTCCAGTTTCCGAAACTAGACCCCCCATCACTACTTACAATGTTGTTTATAAAACAATTTAAAATAGTCTTCTATATTAGTATCTTCATCTTCATCTTCAAATTGTGAAGGGTAAATTGTACCGTTATCTTCAGCAATACTCAATTTTTGACAGACAAAATAATTTACTTTAAATTATTAAAATTTTAAAATATAATTAATTAATTATTTATTTTTTTAAGTTTTTTTGAATTCCGAGGTGAACTCGTAATTAAATTTTCAAATTTATTTTTATTTTAAATAAACAAAATTGTCACAAAAACTGTAAAAACCCTTCAATTAATTACCATATAAACCATTATTATGGTAAAATTCAATTTTATCTTCTTCGTAAATATTCAAATTTTTTAAATAATTTTTGGTTAATTTATTTGCTAAAATTTCAAATTCATCATAGAATTGCAAATAACGAAAAATAGAAATATATTGCCTATAAATAGATTAATTATTTAAAATATAAAATTTTTGTAAATTTCGAAAGTCATGAAACATTTCATAAACATTTATTGGCCGCCATCCATTCCAGTTATCAAACTCCCTAAATTGGATAGGCCGTCAAAATTTACAAAATTTATACTAGAAAAATTTAAAAACTTTTAGACGATAGTTTTTTGAAGGACTCAGCAATTCGAGTTTAATGACAATAAAATAAACTCGATTCAATTATTCTGAACGAAATTAACATAATTTCTTTTTCAATTAAATCCAGATTGGGAAGCCCCTTCAAATAAGCTCATTTGTACAAGTTTTTCAATTTATAAGTACTTATTCTAAAGATATAGGTAATTGAAAGGTCTTTAAATAATTGGGCGGTTAGAATAACAAAAAAATTTCTTTTAAAAACAGACTTTGATCTAATAATATTGCTATTTTCTTCACAATAATTAACCAATTTTTGATTATAATTATCAATTATTTCGTGAGATGTAAGGAATGAACGAATTAATTGTCGAGTAAAAGCATACAAATTCCAAAGAATATAAAGATTTCTTTCTATTTTAAATGTCCTTGCACAAAATTGTAACAAATTTTCGAAAACTTCATCACTTAAATGTTAAAATTTTTAACAGAGTGCCAGGCTCGACTGAGTTCCAAGACCTTATAACTTTTGAAGGGGTGGCCACTTTTTTATGTTATTGGTACCATTGGATAGGGCATTAAATAGGCTACAATATACCAAAAAATCAAAATTATTGAT